CTACATTAGAAACGGGACTATGAAGATGAACTTTCAAACTATTATGTAGCCTTTGAGGTGGTTTTGACGGATCTAACTTATGGAATATTGTTTTTTTTTTGTGATAGGTTGCCGGATTAACAGCTGGAGGGAAATCGGCGCTGCCCATGGACAGCCATTACCAGAGGAATTACGAGTACGTTGCCGTGTTTTTAAGATTGGGGTTTGAAAAGTATGGACATCCAGTAATCTCATTTACACGGCGAAACAACGCTGTGGTAGTGCGACGCCAGTTTTCTGTGAGACCGTGGTATCACTCCGTTCACTATTTGCATTATTTATATCTTTATTTTTTTATTTGATGAAATATTTGAAAGAGGAGGAAACTAGGAGACGAATCAAGTGAAGGTATACAATTTGCACGGCCCATGAACACTCATAAATTGAGAGGAGATACAAGTGCGTTTCCCATGTTTGGGAGAAGGGCGGTTTAAAATTAGACCTAAAAAGAATATCGTTCTTAGGTTCGCATACTTATGCACTTTACGATATTATCTATAAGTACTCATATTATAAAGCTGTAGAATATGTTTTTTTTTAACGCGCTGATCTCCGGAACTACAAGTTCGAATTGAACAAGTCTTTTTGTGTTTGTTAGTCCATTTATCAGGAAAGGCTGTAGGCTATAAAACATCACGCTACCATATGTAGGACAGCTGGGGTTGCGAGGTAAGCACAATGAAGCACTGCGACCTCGGCCACGAGCAGGAGAAGGAACGGGGATTTTTAGTCAGTAAGAGTCTGACACTCTCTCTCGCCCGACCCTGGGTGGGTCATTTGGTGATTTTCTTCTCACAAAAAAACGATATGTAAGAGCCGAGGAGCGGCTTTAACCGCGGGACAGTGGCTAGTTTTTGATATAATAAAAATGTCCTAATATCTTGTACTTTTTAACAGGAAACCGTCAAAAGCTGGAATATAACCACTACTAATAAAAAAAGTTTCGTTCAGTATGCATTGCGACCGACCATAAAATCCCTTTGTACAGATGACCTAAATCAAAATGCAAATAAGGCGTATACTTGCACAACACAGCACTGATATTCCGTAAAAAAACACGGAAATGTAAATTTATACCGATATAACGGCAAGTTTATATTTTTTGCCTTAACCGGACTAAACAGTGCTTTTTGTATACTATTTAAAATTTTAATATAGCAAGCATCTTTTTTAGTAATGTAACAAGAAGAAATCGACACGGAAGATCTGCCCTTAAAGCATTTTTTGCGGGAAAAATCATCGGATTATTTCTCCCGCCTGGATGGGGCGAGAAGGAGTGTCAGACTGTTACTGACTAAAAATCACCATTCCGATCCTTCACATGCTCCAGGTCGAGGCTGCAATACATTATTGTGCTTGACCTTCCCAGGGTCTTTTCTATATCCTTGACTTTAACATCTATCTGCTTACGAAGAAGATACACCGAAGATAGCAGGGTGATGATATTTAAATATGCATGCATGTTGATATTGCATAGTTTTAGCAACATTTTAGCGCTAATGTTCCTTTTGTAGGAACAATATTTTAATATTTGAGCGACAAGATTAGCCCCTCGCGTCCGCCGGGAAAGATAAAAAAGGAATAAAAGTTGATAACGTAATTGGCACAATTGAACTTTTTTGATGGGTTTTTATGCATGTGTAAAACTGTAAACAACACTGAGTAGGAAACTGGATGAACTGTAACCAATTTAGTAAGCAATAGACAGCATGCATCTAGAATTTTTGGCTGATAATAAGCAAATGACACATACCATTTAGTTGCTTTATAAATAAGGTCACCAAATATTCGAATTAATTCACTAAGAAATGGAATAAAAATAAATTATAATGATATGGCATAAATTAAACACATTGGGAAAAATCTACAACCTACTCGATGTAGAACACTAGATAATTATATACTATGTGGTACATAATCAACAAAAATATGTATTATTATAAATTTAATAACACCTGTTTTAATATTAATGCATTTGCCAAAACAAATTGTTGTTGTCTATAAATAGTAATAAATAAACAGCACAAATAAAAAACTAATACAAAGTTGTGTTAAACAAGGAAACATTAATTATCACACTAATTAATAACTTAATCAAACCAATAGAACAAAAAGTTAATAAATTGTTGAAAGATTACATTAGTTAATTTATTACTTGTATGAAATTTTATGTTTTATATGAGTAATTACTCTGTAGAATGCAGTGTTAAGGTTAAAATTGCCATCTGAAAATTTGGCTCATACAGTTTCTTGTATCAGGCCAAAGGACGAAGGGCAATGAACATAGACAGGTATTTCTGTAATGGATAAACTGTAAACACTGCTTGTCCTGCAGTTGCTTTTGTCCTACTTCAATGATATCTTTTGATTACTTAATTTATTTAACATGAAATCAAAGATAGTTTGCTTAAATTATCTTTTTGATATTGATCTTGGTATTTTAATGATTGGTTGCTACTGTTCACAATGGTATTATTCGAAAAATATGTGTTATGAATTTGTTGCCATTAAAAACAATGTTACCTTACCATACAATACATGTCATAAATAAATATTTTTTTTATTTATTGTACAGTTGATTGAGTTTATCTCAAGAATTGGAAGTAGGTTGTAAGAAAAACCAAAAAGTTTAGGATTGGTTGATGTTTTAAATTAATACTAAAACCCTGATTACACATTGCAAGTTCACACTGTTGATCAGATGATCAACATTGCATTATACATAATTTATCAAGGAAAATTTAAGTACTCTAAATAACCAACAATTTGACATGCATATAATTTTATAAGATATGGATTATACTTATAAAGATTCAAAAAGAAGAAATCTCTTTTATAGAAACTAATGTTTATGTTATCCAAAATAACACTATTAGATGTGTACAATTTTCAATCTATTTCTATAAAACAAATAATGTAAAAACTGTGCAAAGCATTTATCATGACTTAAAATGTATGTAGATATGTTTGTAAGTTTTACATACATAGATGCACCAAGTTTGTTGGTTTAAAATTATGATGACAACATCATGAACAGTTACTTATAATAAGTAGGTAGGTAGAGACTATAAGAACAAAGATTTCACGTTTTATAGTTGCTATAAATTGTTATACTTAATATTTTTTATAGAATGTTTTTCTAATAAGAATTATATAGTTTTCCAAATAATGCAATTTCAACATATAAATAACACGTTTTTAATTTGAAAAAGTTGTTTTTAGCTTCTTAAAATTCATTGTCTGATCGAAGTGCATCAGATTTAATTCGGTATGATAACAATGCACATGTGTGCACATTACAGATGAGAACAATTGACCGAACGATCAAATAGGAAGTTTACACAGTAATTATAAACAAGTAAAGTGTAAAATAAGCCCGATTTCGGCAGCTATTTGAAGAAGCTTGCGATTAAAACTCGCGATGAGTTCGTGGGCGGTATACCACGAATAGGCGTGATACAAAAAAAGACAACAATATGCTCCATGCCACACAACAAAAACTTAAAAAATTATTCAATTATCATCTAACTTACCGTAAATCTCCTTGATTTCGTTGTCGTTGGCTACATTATCACAATGAACGCACAAAATAAATACAATAAAAATGGCTCCTACGGTGTAATGAATATACATCATAAATAACACAATACGCACGTAAGAAGCGTGCGTAAACAGCTTAAACAGTATTTATAAAACACATTTTCACTTCGTTATCGGATAAGAGCGGAAATAATCTCTCTAACGAGTCATTTAATTCGTCTAAATTGTACCAATCGAGCTGCCATCGAACAAGACCCCGCTGACCCCGCCGTCTGTCATTCGTCATGTCAATAAACAATTAATGTTGCCATATTAATATTTTAAATTACTACTTATTCTACCAAAGAACATAAAACCCGACATCTGGGAGTTTTAAGGACACTTTTTCATATTTATCTTTAATCCTCATAATTCGTCACTCAATACTCAATGATGGATTAACTGTGGTCATGATGCAAAGCTGTATGCCCCGCAGAAATAGCAATCCTATGTACAATAATCAATCTGCTTGGAACTTAGTGAACATCAAGTCTCTTGATAATATTTGTTATTGTTAGGACGGTTTAAACTTAGAGTGGAAACTCCACTTCATTTCTTCCAAGGGACAAAATAATCGAATCGACACTCAAGGATAAAATTAAATTGGCACAGCTTGGTTAGAAGATATTCACAGACACCAACATGAATTTCACAAATGTTATTTTTTTATGTTATCATTAGTCAGGTAGGTTTAGGCCTCATTAGTCATTTCTAATAAATGAAATCTTGCAACAAATCTTTAAAGCCCTCTGATACTCTGATGGTATTCAGACATCAAAAGTTACGCACACCTGCAGTACTACATTTCAATTACGATTTAGAAATCCGTAACTGACTGTGAAGATGTAATTACTCCTGTTTAGAAGATGCTGTACACTCAAGGACAAGTTAATTCTAAATTCACCACATCATTTAGTCCCTTTTATAAAACAAGTTTACTATTAGGATTATGTCTGTTAATGTTATCCCACCTATAAATAAAAGAGACGCCATCTATAAAATTATTTTGGAAGTTTATATATTTGGTCCTGGCAATAATCAACATCAACGTTACAGTGTTGTTACATTATAAAATATTTTCACAATAAAATGAAAACATGAAATAACTAAAATAAGCTGTGTATTTCAAATTCACTTTTGAGCCAACGTAAAGTACATGTGTGTACGTATTACCAAATACATGCTTTTCCTGTTTTTTATTAGAAATTAAATTAACGAGAGTCCTTCACCAAATCTCAAAGTAAAATTGGATACTAACCCCATTTGATCTGGTAGTTTTGGTCAATAAGCCTTTGATAAATATTATTTAAAAACAAATTAAAAATCACAAGATAAACTGTGATAGATTTGTTATAAAACCTGGCAACACTGCCAGTGAGATTGTTTGTTCGGCTTTGGGTGTCAGCCGCTTTGTAGTTTTGCGTGATAATTATAGAAATAATCAGTGCTATCGTTGTAAAAGTGAATAGAAAATGGTTTAATAATTGTGCGATGACTTTATTGTCGCGTTATTGCGCGTAATATACGTAAAATCGAGGTGCTTCCGCCATGACAATGGGTAGCACCGTCGGGAAGTATCCCGCGGCACTTGTTCTATATTTTCTGTGTATGGGACTATGGTATCCAATTTTAGGTGAGTAATAAACAAATTTAGATTGTTTTCATCGTAACAGCTTAAGTATTTTAATACCAGGCTTGTATATTTACCGTTCAGGCCATAGAAACATGGAACAAGACAATATTTTTTGTAGCACTACGCGCATTTTTTTTCAATTAGAGTGTTTCCTCAAAATTTGCGGTCAGCGGATGCTGTTCAACTTCGATATGACTGTATCCCTGTTGGTTGCACACGTAGGAACAATGTTTACATAGCTTGCAAACTTTTATGTTTGATATGAATATTTAGGGATATAAATATTTAGTGATTGGTGTTTGGTACTCTTACACTCGAAAAGACTAGAACTTTTGCGTCTTAATCTGTTGTGTAAATTGAACATTTTGTGAAAACATGTTGAACACTTCAAGGCAAAAAGAATAACTACAAATCATAATTCCCATTGAGTTTCTGTAACATTCTTATGACCATTACAACATCTGTAGCTATTAGCAAGAAGGATAGTTGTTATTTTACACATAAACTTATATTACCTATGTGAGTTAGGGCAAATTTCTTATCATTTGCAAGTTATCTATTAAATTGTAAGTTATACAATAAATTATAAGAGCTTTTGAGCAGATATTAGAAACAATATAATTAAAGAAACCCATATTAACAGTCTAGGACAATACACCATTATTTAATACATTGAAATTAAATGATAGTAATACTTATTTTAATTATTAGTATTTATTTTAAAGAGAATAGTAAATGTTCACATATTTTTTAAATAGGATATTTTACAATAATCCTGGATAAATGGTGTTTCTAAATTTTAAATTTGTTTAGCCATTCAATGAGAAAACTCCTAACAGTCAAGTGATTGCCTGAAGCTAAAGAAAAATGATTATAATAGTAGAAGTCTTGTTCTAATTAGATAGTCATTTATTTATTTATTCACAAAATATAAGAACACATTATCTCCTCTATCCTAATTTATCTCACAGATGGCTTGTAAGAGCTGACTAAAATATTGCATGTCACAGAGGTGCACAGGGTGCATGGAACATTTCTCTCTGATAAACTTGAACTTCTAAACTTCCTATACTATAATGTACTTGTAATCATTTGTACACATATTTTTGCAAATTAACTTTGATTTGATTCCCATTTTCCTGACAAGGGCGGTGATTATGGCAAACAGCTTACATAGAGGCTGTTGTTATTATAATAGGTAGAATTTTCTAGTTTCTGTTTCTAGTTTCTCATGGGAAAGATGTGGATTGATTAAAATCTACAAAACTAAATAGCTGAAACTACTGGGCTTATATATATGTAATTTAGTGTATAGTTTTGGTCATAAACATGCTGGATGGCCCACTCCTATAACATGGCATGCAAAATAATATAGGTAACTATGGGTACTAGCTACTCTCACGCGGTTTCACCCGCTGCTCGGCTCGATTTCATCATAGCGTAATGTCTTATAGCCTATAGCACTCAGGAACATTGTAACTATCAATCAGTGAAAAAATTTTGGCAATCCCACCAGTACTTCCATAGATTACCCCCTACATACAAACTTATAAATTTTACCTCTTTATATTTGATAATATATTGTTTGAATAATAAAAGGTTTATCATTTTATTTTTTTACTTACTGGTAAAATACAATGCAATTTTTATGAGTAATGTCCTCTGAAATGATTCATTAAGGAATCCCTCTTTGTATTCATTGTGTACTAATTATAAGACAAATATTGTAATGTGTATGTTTACCTAACAATCAATCACTGTTAACTCACTCAAGTTCCCTATATTCCACTATTATACCCTCTCTTCTTATCAGTTTCCTAAAAATATAAAAAATATTGTTGGAAAAAATTTGGTGTATGAAATAAATCAGAAGCCTTTTTAAAAACAAGCTTTTATCAGTGGCAATAAGTCCCAAGTCTAAATACATATGGAGACAGTTGTGTGTTGTGTTTACTACATACACAGTTAAATTACTGCTTAGCATTTGTGGACAGGCAAACTGTTTAGTTTATGAAGTTTTGTATACATGATTGTGTACATTTTGTATACTAAGTTTAATTTCAATTGTCTATAGACATCTTTGAAATGTAGATGCAAGATTCCACTTCATAACAATATACAAATAGATACATAACAATTAAAATTAAACAATGTGATAAGTGCCTGTTCATTTTACATCACACAGTGTCAAATTCCAGTTCCCGCCTGTGACAGGAACTGGAATTTGCAATGACTACTCTAGGGACTGTAGAAGCCCAATAAGGGACTCTACAATGGAAGTTGCCCTTAAACTAGTTCAGTATAAGAGTTACACTTTAAGGAAGACTTGAAGAAATAAGTGTACTACTTTTTAAAAGGTCAGCAATGTACCTGTTACTCCTCTGATGTTGCAGTTGTCCACGGGGAACAAGTTCACTTCTGGTCAACAAGTTCATTTGATATATTCATGCTCATTTGATATATATTACATAAAAAACATACAAATAAGGACTAACTTAGAGAAAACATAGTGAGAACCCATATAAATGGGTTATAAAAAGATAGTTAAACAACTGCCTAAATAAGGAAAATACCATATTATTAGCCACTTGATATATCCTGCTGAACATCCCTATTGTCCAGTTTAAGTGTGGGAGAGCCAAGCTTCGGCACGAATAGGTCGGGTCGACCGGAGTGATACCACGGCCTCACAGAATACCGGCGTGAAACAACCCAGCGTTGTGTTTCGCCGTGTGAGTGAGGTTACCGGAAGCCCAATCCCTCCCCTTCTCCTATCCCTTCCCGTTCCTTTTATCCGCAACCCCTATCCCCAAAAAGCCGGCAACGCACTTGTAACTCATTTGGTGTTGCGGGTGTCCATGGGCGGCGCCGATTGCTTACCATCAGGTAATCCGTCTGCTCGTTTGCCGACTTATACCATAAAAAAGTGCTTGTTTTGGTGCTTACCCAGACACTTCGGCAAATAATCATCATCATCAGCCTCTAAGAGCCCACTGCTGAGCAAAGGTTTCTTCTCACATGGAGAAATTTTGAGCATTAATCACAATGCTTGCTCATAGTAGATTAACTATGTGAAACTTAAATTAGGAATTATAGCCCCTTATTACAAAACAAGGTTTATCTTTAGTCCAGGTTTAAACCATCGAGTCGGGTTTTGAATTTTGAATCTTATTGTCATCTACCTTCAATTCGAAATACGAAAACTGGCTCAATGGTTTAATCCTAGACTAAAGTAAAACCTTGTTTTGTAATAAGGCCGATAATGTTTAGGTTTCACATACTTAGTACAAAGAAGTAGTGGTTGGTGGGACAAAAGGAAATAGATAAATGCTACATGACGTTATAAGAACCATGCTTGGAATGCATCAATGAAAAAGTGATGTATGCTATAGGTATGCTATTGTTTTTCGATTTCAGCATGCTTACCAATAACATTCAGGCTGAAATTGTAACTGGCAGTGCCAAATTATTTACATCAGTACTAGTAAAAGTGGGTGTAGTGAACAGGTTAAACAACAAAATAACGATCTAACAATTTATTTTTTATTTTAATAGCACACTGTTTTCGATGGGGCTCATAAAGTATACTGGTGAAAACTTATCTCTTCTAGCTGCAAAAAGCGTAACGTTATGTTCTTTTTAATATACCTTTTACTCCATTTTCTGAATTCTACTTAAAATATAAACACGAAAGTTAAGCATAATTTTGGTACACTAATCTATACTAATATTACAAAGGTAAAATTAGTAAGTTTGTATGTAGGGGGTAATCTTTGGAAACGCTGGGCGGATTTCCAAAATTCTTGCACTGATAGATAGCTACAATGTTCCCGAGTGCTATAGCTACAATCAAATGGAGCTGAGCAGCGAGTGAAACCGGCGGGAGTAGCTAGTCTATATCTATACTAATATTACAAAGAGGTCAAATTTGTAAGTTTGTATGTAGGGGTAATCTTTGCAACTGTTGGGCGGATTTCCAAAATTCTTACACTGATAGGCTACAAGGTTTCTGAGTGCTATAGGCTATTAAAAATCACGCTACGATCTGTAAGAGCCGATCAGCGAATGAAACCGCGCGAGAATAGCTAGTAGATTATAATCTGGAAAAACACATAGGGTACTTTTAACCCGGAAACGCGACCCACTCATGGTAAAACCTATTTATTGGATGTGCTTCATAGTGGGATACATCATCGCATACCACTTGACAAAACAAGCGCCGCAGGCGTACGTCCAATTAAAAAAAGAACATTTCACATTTTTCTGAATATTCAACAAATAATTTCTATTTCAGACCTCTCTAAAGTTTGTTTATGATGTGAATTCTATTTGCCGTGACCTGCAAACCTAGGCATTGTTTATTCAATTTTGTTTAGTAAATCAATTATTCAAACAAATGATTTCACTTGTGTTATGCTCAAGTACCAAGAACCATTGCATATCTGTTATGAAAAAAAAAAATTAGTGGTGAATTAAAGAAACTCCTAAAATATTAATAACTACCAGTTTCAATTATGTTAAACTTGCTGACCTAGCTGAATTCTGAACCCTCTTATGCACAGGAGGCTAGAACTGAAATTTCATTGTCTATTCGTCACGAATAGACAATGAAATTTCGATGATTAAACATGTTAGGTATACACAGTTATTTTATATTGATTGTATAGTTAACGGGGTGGTTGGGTAACCGGCAGCCTTGCAACGTATTGCGGTTTCTGGCTCACAGTTACACAGAAGAAATTCCTAGTATAGGGCAACTTTTTTTTCTATGTATCATTATGATGTATTCTTAGTTATGCAGTCTTATGCAATGTACATAAAATGCAGATAATATAATAGATACTACTATTGTCACAAATACATAGAAGTGTACAATACAGTACTATTCATTCATAACTATTCCGAGACATTGTTGCATTGTGAGATAACTTATCTTAGTCTTACCTTCTATTTTAAATGACCCTGATAATGGAAACAGTAGAGTAAACTAGATAATTGTATACTTACAATGACTATTGGCCTTTTATTATAGCTGTTTGTTTAGATATCGTCAGTTTTAAATAGCTCTAAGTAAATAAGATGCTGATTTATACATTTATTTGTTTATTAATACTTCAAGCACAGTCGGTACGTAGGTAGACTTGCCTTAGGCATTTTCTACCAGGAGTCTTGGGTGTGCAGAGAAGAGCCAATGGTCGCTGCAAGACGCAAGAAAACAAATATGTTTCTAAGACACAAATGATATATGAATGTTTACATAAGTTCTCAAATAAATAATAACAAGAACATTATATGTTTTGTGCCTTAATTCCATGAAAGAGATGGTTAATAACATAGTGTTATACATACTATGATAAGCCAAAAGAACTAAGGTGAAGAGGCTTTTCTCCATCAATGATTGTCTTCCGGAGATGATTATGATTTATTTATTTATTTATTTATTTATTTATTTAAATAGGTTAGCCAACAATTATTACACTTTTTTCATTAACTCTTAATAAAAGATATAACACATGTGCGAGTATAATAATCACTTATAGACTAACACAGCATGCACAATAGTATTAGTTAACAATACATTGTTTTTTTAATTATAATAACATAATATTTTTTGAAAAATAACAGTGTAAAAAACAAACTGACAGAAAAATATGTTACAATATTAGGGATGATAATGATAAGTCAAAATCATTTATTTGAATTAGACATTCACTTTTGAACGTCAAGCAAAACTTAAAGATAAAAAGTGTCAGTCTGTCTTAGTGAACTGCTACGATATTTGTTTACATTTTTAGCTTATGACAATCATAGTCACTTCGCGCCATTAAAAGTATCATTTTCTTAGTACCTACATAGAATTCCTTTTTTGGAGAATATGTAACGTAGCCAACGTAATTATGCTACATAAATATGGTGAATCCAGCTCTTACATTAGTTCGAGAGATGATCTCCGGCCACCGTAAGCGCGGGTCTACGAACGGCAAGTCAGGGTAGCTCGCCGCCCGACCAGAACCAGACCCAAGCATATGGCGCGTAGCGATCCGCGTTTCAAAGAGCCAATAGACCACAACAGACGAGGCCCTATAGGGCTGATGTTCAGCCGAAGTTGCGGGTCAAGCGCAATGCGTCACCGCAGCCTCGGACCAGAGCAGGAGAAGGAACGGGGGTGTTTTTATTCAGTAAGAGTCTGACACTCTCTCGCCTTACCCTAGGCGGGAGAAGTCATTCGATGATTTTTCCCTAATAAAAATAAACGTAAATTAAAAAGATAAACTAAAGTATACCCCTTTGGTATACAATTACCACTTACCTTACGGAATCCTATTTTGTAAATACTTACGAAGCCATCCAAAGTACCGTATGTTTATCTAAGAAACTTGCACATGCCGGACATCCCGGCGTATAGGCTCTTAATACATTAGTGCGCCTTACCATTAACGATTGCATTACTGCTTACCATCAGGTGGGATCGCAGTCAAGCACTAGTTTATTGCAAGTAAAAAAAAAACTTGCACTTTGAGACACCACTGACATACGGTGAAGGTAAACATCGTGAGGAAACCTGAACTTATAATTTCTAATGAAATCGCCAATGGAGACTCAGTTGCCATTCAAAAAAGAAGAAATCGTCAACCCGCATTGAGCAAGCGTGGTGATTAATGCTTTAACCTTCTTCGTGTGAGAAGAGGCCTTTACTCAGCAGTAGGCACTTATAGGCTGATGATGATGACCAACTAAAAACCCGTTAAAAGTTAAAATCAAAAAGTTTGTTTACAATTTTCATAATTTGTTATCAATATCAGCTTATCTAACCGATATATTGTATTATCTGGTTTCGTTTTGTCAATAACAAATGCGATAATACAAATCCCTTTGCGCAATATTATTAAAGAAAAAAACAAATATTCTCTCTGACTACATTGTAAGTGTAATATGCGCCTTATGTGCTTGGAAAAAAGTACTTATTTGTATACCAAGGTACGTGTTTATGTGTACACTTGAACTTAGTCATATTGGCATGTCATCTTATTTTTGTAGTATAATTAAATTGTTTACAATGTTACCAAAAAAGAATTAATATATACCTACATAGTATATTTTCTGACCTTGAACTAGTGCACACACATTATAGATTATGCAAACATCATGCTTGTTTTTCTGGGAAGGAGATATTATGCTACTTATCAATCTACAGGAGTAAAATTACCGTCTCATCGAAAGCCAAACAAACCTTGCGTTGTGTTTCGATGTGTGAGTTAGGTTATCGGAAGTCCAGTCCTCACCCACTTAAATCCCACACCCTCAAAACCTTGGCAATGCAATTGTAACTCCCCTGGTGTAGCCGGTTTCCATGTTAACGGTGTCCGTTCAAAAGTTCCTACTGTAATCTATTTGATTTTGACTTCACTTTGACATGAGCGACACTGATTGCTGACCATCAGGCGATTCATCAGTTCGTTTACCGCCCGATCCTATGAAGAATTGATAACAATAGATATTCTACCTATGGTACCTATTAATCACAGAAAAGTATTCAGGGGCATTCAAAATTAATTTAAAACTCGATAACTCAATGAAATATAAATGTAACATTTAAGTGATGTAACTATATGTATAATTGAAAACTGTAGCCGATAAACTTAGGCTATAGAAAGCGCGGGTAAAACCGCAAGGTATGACTAGTTTGCAATATACATTCTCAATTACATTTTACACACGAACTTAAGGTTACCAGTATTGTCGTTATCAAAGAAAATAATTAAAATTGTCTGCTTAGGTTGGGTTAGGTAGGTACGTCACACATGTTTTACGTATTTAAAAACAAAACTGTAGGCTTAATGAGGAAAAATTAAATAATAAAGGCACAATTTGTAATTAGTGAAACATCACTTTTAAGTATCATAGTTAGTTATGGAGTCATATGGGTATTTTGTTTCGAGTACAACTTTCCTTTCAGGAAAATATAGTGTGATAATTATTTAGATGTTACACATTAATTTTGAAAACAAGGTAATGGTCAGACAGGCCATTTATAACTTAGCTGTGATTCAGGCATTTGGTGCAATTATTGTCCTCTGGAGTCTAAAAATAAATATCAATTGAAACTTATTTGTCTTGTGCTTGGAAAGTATAACAATAATTTTTCTTATAATAATAAAAATCCTGTACATATACAATTTAAAATGTTAGAAATAAATATGTAGACTAATAAGGAATTGGATTAATTCGTATTCCCCCAAAAAAAAGTCAATATATGTAAATGCTTGTCTGTAAAATAAAGTTATTTTTTCTCTCTAAATATTTATAACTTTCATATCCACAGCTCAAGATGAAGTGAAGATAATTGATTTATCCCCATGGAAGGCTAATTTGCACAATACATCCGAAGTCACCTGCACTGTTGCCCCGGAGAATGCTGAAATTTCATGGATGTTCCAAGCTAAACCCTTAGTACCCAACAATAGGTAAGTATCAAGACAATTATGACCAAATGGTTCTTGTAAAGACTCCATATACCAGCAAGTGCAGCTCAGGACTTCCACTTACAAAGTGGAAAGAGGATTATAATAAACGTCGCAGGAAGTAGCTTACAAACCGGCCTATCTAGAAGTTCCTGGTGAAGGCGTATTTTCATCCATCCCTGACCTATGTTACGTGATCTTTCGACGGCCCCGAAATTGGCTTTGGCACTCCAAAGGACACCTGCCGCGCAGATGTCTCTGTCAATACACACTGCATTATAGGTTAAGCCTATGACAATATTTCAATATCATTATGCACCATTTTTATAATGTTTGAATCGTGTTATAATTAATGCTTATGGTTATTAGTTTCATGAAGAATTTGGAGATTGCCCAGTCAATAAAAAGTATTTAAGTCAATTATGATTTGAGATCTTAACTACTTACAAATCAAATTCTTTATTAAACTGAAATATTTTCGATTACAGAACTAATGCTACCACCAGCAAAAAGGATTCAACAGAAGGTGAACGATATATCCTATCCATATTGTCAATAAAAGATACGAATTCAGAGGATGCCGGCAACTACACGTGTGTTGCTAAAGTTGGTAGCGCTGAAGACTCCAAGGTGGCCAACTTAGACCTGAGCTTCCCTGCACGACTGGTCAATACGACGAGCAGTCCTATCAGGGAGAATGTCACCAATCATGCTAATATAACCCTGGAGTGCGTCTTTGAAGGTTAGTTACATAAAATATTTTTCGCTTGCACTTTTTGGCGCCACTGGCGACTAAGGTCCTTTCAGTGTTTGACTTTAGTTTAAAATCTTTGTTGTGTGCCTTCTTTCGTTCAAATCATCTTTTCTGTTTACCAGCTTACAATCCTGGTGAAGTGCGATGGTGGACGAGAACGAAAGACAATGTAAAATTACTCTCAGAAACAAACAACACAAGGAGGATAGGAGGCGACCTGATAAAGAGTACCTACGTACTCCACATCTATGGTATTGAAGACAATGGGACATACGCGTGTGAGTTAGACGACCTCGTATCCTCCACAATCGTATCAGGAAAGATAGACGTTCTTCTCACAGCGAAACCTCAAATTATAATAGAAAATGTCATTCCTATAAACACTACACATGTTTACATCAATTGGACTGTCCATGCATTCAATTCGCCTATCAAGGAGTACCGACTGATGTACCTTAATGAGAAGAACATGGCGGCAGGCTTTCGCCACTACACAGTGCCACCGAAGATCGATGCAGCAAACACGTCCTTTCTGTTAGGTGGCTTAGAGAAAGGAACGACGTATACGTTCAAAATGCAAGTGGTGACAGAGTACGATGAAAGCAACCGGGACAGTCCTGAGAGTCTCTACCATAATGTGACAATGTTATCCGAGGATCCGGTTTTTGTACCAAACATATCTATCAACGGGTTTTCGGCTACATCAGTGACGATTGGATGGGCCCCACCGCCGGATGATATAGCTGATTTAATACATTATTACATACTAGAGGCACAGAAGAAGGATAATGGTACGATTAATTTGCGAGCCTGTCACGAACGTAATGGAAAGAATCTGCCGTATATGTTTGATAATTTGGAGCCACACAGCACTTATGTGTTTAAGGTAATTCAGTTTCAATATCACTCTTTGCAAGGCTTTCATGGTTTTGTCACTCTTTGAAACTAATACAAGAAAGGACACGAATCAATGAATTTCAAATCGATATTCTTTCCTGCACCAATATTTATTCGAATTATTTTCAACCAGATACGATAGAAGTCCGCGTCTTTTGCCATTGCAATAACGATTTGCATATAATTAAATTTTGTGACATGAACTAGCGAGATCTCTCGATTTTTTCTCTTGAAGTTGTATACTAAGTCCAAAATTGTACATTTAGGTTATGTGTAATTTTACATCTAGGTACAAGCCTGTTCAGATTATTCGAACTCATGCGGCAACTGGTCGGAGAAGATGGAGGCTGCTACTCTTGATGGAGTGCCTGGAGTTCCAAGTAATGTGGTCGCGAAGTGCAGTGTCGATTTCCTCAACCTCACTTGGAGCGCCCCTCTGAAGCCTAATGCTGAAATCAAAGGATATACTGTGAGTATTTATGGCAGAGTAGATTATATATATTGTCACCATCTGTATTCCTCTTGAGAGCTAAAGAAGGTGTCTGTCTAGGTCAATATGGTACTACAACAACAGGGTACATTAGATAGGCTTCACTTTGAGATACATACTTTCTGATAAGACTGAATATTATTAACTACGGTCGTTGTTTATCGTGGAGGTTGTCAAAACGCCTCTTAACTCTCGAGGTCCAGCGGTCTATCACGATTATTGATGAAGATTAAGTACTTAATTTTCTATGATTATTTAGCCACCACTGACATACGGTGAAGGTAAACATCGTGAGGAAACCCGGACTTATAATTTCTAATTATAAGTTTGAAATCGCCAACCCGCATTGAGCAAGCGTGGTGATTAATGCTCTAACCTTCTCCGTATGAGAAGAGGCCTTTGCTCAGCAGTGGGCACTTATAGGCTGATGATGATGAAGTACTTAATTTTAATTCTATTAAAGTAGAATTTCGAAGTCTATCAAGTAGAGTTTCAAATTGTAATTGCAAGTTCCTTATGTTTGTTAATCTATTGCATAAAATCTACTAAACGGAGCTTAACGAAATTTGGCACTGAGATAGATAATAGTCTGGAATAATAAATACATTGCCTATATTTTAACCTGATGTTACGAGCAAGCTGTTGAAAGAGACTAGTCAAACAATATCAATATATTAAATAGTGTTTTGTAAGTTACAATCCTAAGTAAGATATTGTTAAAACTTGTAAGTGTATTAAGGTTACCGTGAATATAACTGCTAGCCTTAGGCGGGTCGTAAACTACTAAATAAAAACATACTTATTAATCCACGTGTATCTAAGTACTTTCGTTTTATGTAGCTCAATGTTTTCTTCTTGATTTCTAGATGGAAATAACTGGCAACATGACCTACAAGGACCGTTTTGGAGTCGAGAGAGTAGCTACGTGGGGCCCACTTTCTAAATTCATGACCAATGTTACAAATAATACTGGGTAAGTTTAAATTATTAATTTTTATAAATTACTAGCTCTTCCCCGCGGCGTCGCTCCCGTCATTTGAGTACCTACCCAACTCTACCTGCCCTACTCTACCTACCCTACCTACCCTACTCTACCTACCCTATCTACCCTACCTGCTCAACCTACCCTACCTACCCTACTCTACCTACCCTACCTGCTCTACCTACCCTACCTACCCTACTTTACCTACCCCACTCTATCTACCCTACTCTATGTACCCTACACTACCTACCCTTCTCTACCTACTCTACCTACCCTACTCTACCTACCCCACTCTACCTAACCTACTCTACCAACTCTATCCTATCCTATGTCCTTCTCCTGACTCTAAACTACCTCCCTGCCAATTTTCAGCTAAATCGGTTCAGCCGTTCTTGAGTTATAAGTGGTGTAACTAACACGACTTTCTTTTATATAATAATATATAGATTTATTGTTTGGTTTGTATGACAAGAATGAATGTTATAAAAGAATTGAATATAAAATTGTGGTGACTATTTATGTGCATTTGGTGGTCAGCAATCTGCACTGCCCATGGGCACCCGTAACACTAGAGGACATTACAAGTGCTGCCCTTTTAGATTTGCCCTTATAGAGAATTTGAATATTGGGTTGTTGCACTCACAGTTGGTTGCTGGACCCAAATAGCTGTTCCGGGTCCAGGTACGATATGCGCGTGAATTTGTAAACCGATTTTAGTCGGAATTGGAACACTTTTGTATGGAAATAGAAGGCGTGCTTCTATAGAAACTACCCTAGTTGGTATGAAGTTTGTATGAAATTCCAAGCCTAATCGACCTATGTTTATATCGAGACATAATGCGTTTTCTATTGTGTCTTATATACCGATTTATTTACCGACAGTCAAGTGGTTAATGCGCGTAAGACACATGAGAAAATCCTAATAAGGATTAACTTTAAATCTTTATTTTTTATATATTTTAGAGTGAACGACCTACCTCCGAACACTCGCTTCATGATCCGCTTGAGTGCAGTGACGCGCACGCGGCGACGCGGCGAAGAGAACGTCACTTTTTGTCACACTCTGCCGGCCCCGCCTGACTCACCACCGCGACCAAGATGGCGGAAGGTAACTTTATCACTTTTTCATGGGTTAGGGTAGGGTGGCAAAATAGCAGGTTTATGACCTGATGGTAAGCTACCGGTGCCGCCCATTGACACCAGAGGAGTTTCAAGTGTGTTGACGGCTTTTTGTGGATTGGGGGAAAGTGGGGAGGGGTGTTTCAGAAGTTATGTACGAAGCTGTGCTAACATTAGATTTATAACTGGCTAAGGTAGGTCCCACATTTAATCTGTGCTCGACCCTTCTGATAACTATAGGCGTGTTATTAAATCTTAGATGTTATGTTAAATAGAACTCACTTAGTTACATTATTTGCTTTTATTCCAGATCCTAGAAAATGGCACATACATGTTCAAAATGTATTTACCTAGAATGTCGGAAAGAAATGGACCTATATGCTGTTACAGGTAAGATTATAGGTTGTACATAACACATATTTGCTGTGATAATTCTGATAACTATTGGAAAAAATACTTTCAGTATGTGTTTTTGCCTATAGTAGCGCAAACGCTTCTTTGCGCTAGTTCTCCGCTTAGTTGCGCAAACTCCACTTTGAACAGGTTTTGTTCATAGTTATGCATACTCTGCTTTGAGCAGGTTTTGCACATGATTGCGCAAACTCTACTTTGCGCAAGTTTTACGCTTAGTTACTCAAACACTAGTTTGCGCAAGTTTTGTTATAATTATGTATGTTTAGTTATAAATTGAATATGAATTCTATGAATATATTTTTTTATAATTCCAGGGTGTACATGGTCCGGTTGCCTACAGGCAATATAGATTGGAAGAGATTGCCTTCCCCGCGCGATATTGACGTACTTGAATACAAAGATTCCCAAACAAAGCTAGGCGCTTACGTCGCTGATGTTTTCTCAAAGTAAGTTAGCATATAATAAACCGTATTTGATTAATATTAAGGTTGTAATTATACATAAGCCTTGCCAAAGAGTTACAAAATATTGACATATAAGTTGGCATTAAGATACTTTATTCCTTGGCACTTCATATGGAGTTCAAACAATTTTTTTTAACATTTCCAGTGACAAATTCACCCGGGACAACATTGAATTGGTGTTAGGAGATGACAAGGTGATCTTCGACAAGCAAACTGATCCGACGCTAAACCAGGATAGGTGTCGCCGTTGCCTCAAGAGGCCGAAGAGGGTTCATCATGAGCCAACCCCAGCGCCTATAACCACCACAACCTTGGATGATTTTGAGGCAGACCTGATGGATTTTGCAGAAGGCACCGATGATCCGATTGAACGGGACAACTCTGACAGGATATCCAGACGGTCTCCTGATAATATGTATGTACGATTTTATCTCTCTTTGGTAGTTTGAATTCCTAATCGTTGATTGAGTATTGTTAGGAGGACACAAGTGCAGTCAGTTGAGAGGGGGGGGGGGAGTTATGGAATGACTCCCTCCGCCCTGGGGCGACAGGAGCGTAAAAATCTGATTGACAGTTGCTGAGTAAAAACCACCTCTTTCCTTCTCCTGTTCTGGCCCAGGGCTGCGATACATTAAACTTATTTATACCCTCATTTGCTGTGCCCTATCAGGGTCCAAAATGCCCTAGCTTTAAGCCATTGACATCTTTGTAACACTATGGTATACTATATAATAAATAAATATGAAACATTATCGCGACGCACCTGCAAGACCGGGTGATGGATCCACAACCTCGGCTGGCATTATTATGATGATAAGCGAATCATAGCCACTTCGTATAAACATATTTCCCGTACCTATTTTTCGCAGATTTTCCACTTGACCCAAAGGTTGACTGGTAGAGAATGCCGTATGGCATTAATTCCGCCTTTTGTATGAACTTAATTTCATTGTGTACAATAAAGCAGAAATAAATAAGCTGTACATTATGATTATTATGATGAAATAACAAATAAAAATGAATTTTGAAATTGATTGAAAAAGAGTAACCATGGTATTTCTTGTCGTTCTTCTCGATTGGAATCTATACTTTGGAATGAGCAGATAGCTTCACTAGAAGACAGACCGACAGACTGACATGCAAAGTTAAACATTTTGATATTAACGTTTAACAGAACCTATACGGCCTTATTACAAAACAAGGTTTTACTTTATTTAGTCTAGGACTAAACCATTGAGCCAGTTTTCGTATTTCGAATTGAAGGTAGATGACAATAAGATTCAAAATCACAATGGTTTAAACCTGGAATAAAGATAAACATCGTTTTGTAATAAGGGGGCAGTGTTCAATTTGAAAAAATAGGTTGTATTGTGTCAGAAGTTTCATCGAACTACAATCAATGGTTTCGAAATAAATTGAAGATAAATACACAAACAAAGAATTTAATGTATGTGCATTTGTTTCAGTGATTTCAGCAACAATCCAACGATGTTGAACAAACAGGAAGACGACTCTGAAATCCGAGTGAGAGACGGCCCCCTCGATCCTACCGCCAACTATACGCTGTTTGTGGAATTAATATGTAAGTAACTATTTTTAAGTAAACACCACACTCTCAAATATAAAGTTTAATAAAAACGTATCTTATAAGAAACAGCGTATGAATGCTCGTCAAACTTGAATTCCCATTGCACTCTTTGCCCAGGAAAACTTTATTAATCTGTCACAGTTGACGATAGGTTGAGTGATAGGTAACGCGACAGCTTACCAAAAGGGTGGGTTTTTCTTTTCGCTGTACTATACACAAATCCTCTGCTGAAATAATTTCTAAATCGGCTAGTTGGAAGATAGGATGGCCGACACATACGTTATAAGGTTTTTAGGGAACAAAGAGTTAAATTCCATAAAATCGGATAAGGAGGATTCTCCGAGCAGGCGAGGTTTTTTCGTCAAGCTTTTTTCGTCAAACAGTAAAATGAGTGTCCCGTTTAACACAAATAAATAATTTAATACGACACTCGATTTTTACGACAAAAGGATACGGCAAACGAGCAAAAGGATTATCTGTTGGTAAGCAGTCAGCGCCGCCCATGGACACCGCAACACCAAAGGAGTTACGAGTGCGTTGCCGATCTTTTAGGTATAAGGGTTTAGGGAGAAGGAAGGAAGGGAAGGATCCGGAGGAGGCCCACTTCACACAACGGTGTGTTAATTTCCCGCCGGTTTCTTCCTTTAATCAGTAATATGAGTATGCTGTTCAACATAGATAAATAATTTAATATGTCACACGAATGTTGTAATATTAATAAATATTTCATAATTATATTTGACACACAGCGAGTTCGGACCCGGACGAGGCATTGTTCAGTGAGTACACGTCGCTCCTAATGCCGGCCGCCAGTCCGCCTGTACCCGTCCCGTCCACTGCACTCGAGATCGCTTTACAGGTAACCTATTATATACCTTATCAACATCACGTTAAAGTTTAATTTCAATACATAGTACTGACTATCCGTATTTGTAAGGTACGTCAGCTTGACGCTCAGTGAATTCAGTCATCATGTCAGTGAATTAAAATTAGATAAAAAATCTTTTAATAGTTATATTTAAAAATCTAATAATCTCTGTTGATTTCTTCGTCGTAATTGATCATAAGTCCACACTTTTGTATCATATATAAAGCAAAAGCAACACAGATATGTACCACGCTTTTTATTTTTTAATCTTCCAAGACATCTATACAATTAATAATTAGATTAATGTTTTTGGTTTTCGTCCACAGATAACATGCGCAGTGGCGGCCGTGATCCTGCTCCTGATGATAGTATTCTGCATCATGCAAACGCGACGCACGCGCAAGATGCCAGCGCACGTACAGATCGACAATCCCTTCTCTTATGCGCTCAGGTATGTACATATGCTATATTTTTGATGACAAAAATGACTAATTTACGTGAAAAGCTCTACTTGATTCAAGTCACAACGGGATTCTCATTCATGAGCAGCGTGCACGTCGTGGTATTTTAAAATTGGGACAGTGTTTTTCAGATACTTTACGTGAGTACGTCGTTATTTTAATACACGTATGTCTCACGATAAGTTCATATTCTATGAATATGTCCAAATCCTTTAAAACTGTAATAGGAGGATGCTCATTCGATTCCCGGTTGGCAATGTAACCTGATTAGTTATTCTGTGAACTCATAACATGAGTACATATTTTTTTCGTATGTTCTTTAAAACTGTAAAACTGGTGCTTGTTTGATTGCCGGTTTGGGAAATGTAAATGTTCTGTGAATATGAGATTTATAACACGAGTAGAGAAAATTTTTCTTATGTACATTGGTATTTATGTCTAGGTGTATTAGATTGATCCATCGACAACAGTGGACGGAATCAAAAACGACGGACGGACGGACGGAAAAAAATGTGTTCGCGCAATTTTTAATGTCAAATGGTCGGACTCTTGTAGACCTATTTTCACATCAGAAAAAATATTAACTGTCCCTAACATTTATATTTATGAAGTGGCTAAATTTGTAAAGTCCAATATTAAATTATTTAAAAATAAAAACAATACAAACAAGCGCAAAGTCACTCATTCGTATTTAAAAATGCCTGCTCCGCGACTTGAGATGTGTAGACGAAGTTGTGTGTACATGGCGCCTTTAATTTATAACTCACTGCCTCAGAACATAGTCGATCTGCCCTATCAGAAGTTCTGCAAGACTCTAAAAAATTGGTTGATAGAAGAATGTTTTTATTCGGTTGATGAGTTCCTAAAAAAGTATTCTTCTCAGTCTTACCATTTTAGGAATGCATTGTAATTGTTATTTACCTACCTGTATTTTACTTTTGTGTTTCTGTATTTTACTGTAAGATGTCGAACGTTTTGTACCAATGTATTGTAATGATGTAAAACAATAATGTACATTTTACTTGAACATTTGCATGCTGTTTTATAACTGCGGAATGTGTCTAGCTCTAAAACATATATTAAACCAACTCTTGTACCACATTTTATGCAAATAAATATATTATTATTATTTTGTATGTTCCTTTCCACTCACGGGACCACAGGGTCCCGGACTTTTGGAAGGCGTACGAGGGGCCGAAGCCAACTCGCAGAGGCCCTTTGAACAACTTTAATATAAGTGAAATGGGACATCAGCCGGCAGTTATCCCTTTATGCACTATGAAAGTGCACCCAAGGATAATCACCGGTTGATGGAGGACTATTGCGAAATGTGGTAAAAATTTATAAGGTTATGGGTATGGGTTGCTATGGACTAGTGAATGAAAACTATGGAAATACTATGGCCCCTGCCCCTGACCAATATTGATACATACGGATAAACAGGCAGGGGGTGACTGGCAAACTCAATTAATGGGCCCCCGGAAACGGCCGCTAGCATGTAGCGACACGGGGGCAACATACGTTGAGCTGCTTGGGGAAGGAGAGGCATCCCACGGCTATCAGAGCAATCCCGGAAGTACGGTCAAGACCCCTACCAGCACCTTACTGGGATACATCCTTCCCCCGAGTCTCCTTCAACTCCTACTCTTGCGAATCTCCACTCAAGCCAGCCAATTAAGGCAAGAATGAGGTAGGAGGGCTTGTTCCTCATCAGTGTTCACTCCAGCTAGACACGGGGACTAACCGGAGATGGAGGACAAAACACCTCCCGGGAGTCAGGTCCGTGGGGTCGCCACTGCCCAACAGCTCGCCACAAGCTGCCTTGCGGATTTATTATTATTATTATTTGTATGTCTTTACCAATCACGGGACCACAGGGTCCCGGTCATTTGGAAGGCGTACGAGGGGCCGGAGCCAACTGCGCAGAGGCCCTTTAGACAACTTTAATCTAAATGAAATGGGACACTAACCGGCGACTATCTCTGTATGCACTATGGAAATACACCCAAGGACAGTCCCCGGTTAGTGTAGGACTATTGCGGATAATGGAAACAAGGGATAAGACTATGGGTGTGGGTTGTTATGGACCGGTATGATGGGAACTATGGAAGGACTATGGCACCTGCCGAAACAATGTAATTTATACACGTAAAAATGGCAGGTGGAGACTCGCCAACTCACCGACCGGGCCCCCGGGAATGGTTGCTAGTAATAGCAACAGAGGGACAACGGAAATGTGAGTGGCTGAAGGGTGAAGAAACTGCCACCAGCTTTCTACTCAGATCATCTGCATCTGCCTAAGCATCCTGCATCACTGGCCCACTCGCCGCTTACGAACAGCTTCCACCCTCCGAGCAGGATCACTACTCTCGCGACTCCACTCTGGACGGCCAATGAAGGCAAGCCAGAGGCGGGAGACCTGTTCCTCGTCATCGTTCACTCCGGCCAGCCAATAAAGGCAAGCCGGAGATAAGGAACGGTGACTCCTCCCTGGAGCAATCGGGATGATGGTAGCCCGCGGGATCGCTAATTCCCGTCACCTCGCCTCAAGGTGCCCTGCGGGCTTATTATTATTATTATTATAATCAGTCTGATAATAATTAATGATGACGATACCGGTACTAAATAAAATATCTTTTATCATGAAACTGTTCATACCAACACAGCAAAAGTACATATATCCTTTCCACCACCAGATACTGGGACAGTATCCGCGGCCGCCAGCCCCTGGTGTCCACGGTTCCGCCCGACATACCCCCCATACCGAAGGACGAGCTAGCTGCTGCATATGCGCAGCGACAAGTCGACTCAGACTACGGGTTCCAGAAGGAATTTGAAGTAAGTTAATTGTACTTTTGTATATTTCGTTATTACTAGCTTTTGACCGCGGCTCTGCTTAAGTGATAATCCTTCGTCCTTCTCCGAAGGCCCAACTATGAGTAGGCTAACATTTAGGAGGATTGTTTTAAAACATAAAGCATAAAGAAGTAACGACGAAACAAACTTACCTTCGCATTTGTACTAAAAGTTGGGAAGTTTCAAGATCAAAATTTACCAGAGGGGAGTCTGTAATTAATAAAAATAAGTACATAGAAATGAAAGATTTTAATAGATAAGCAAAAAAAGCAACTTACCATTTTTGATGCATAAAGATCATGAAATGACTTTCTCAGTGCACCTTGAGAAAACACCATGTCTACCAATCCGCCCAGGCTGAGGCGAGGGTCAGTGTCAGACACATACTGACTAAAAACTTCCCCATTCCTTCTCCTGCTTTACTTATCTTAATCTTAATCATAATTTTATTATTAAGGAATAGTTTAAGTAATCCTTAATAATTGTCATAGAGTGTTGCAGTGATAAATGAGTGTCTCATTTATCACTTTTTTCATGTCATGTCATCCCATTCTACAAAGTGCCTAGTGCGAACTAACGCGTTTAAAATGCTACCCTCTCATTGGTTGGTTGTCATGGAACCGACCAATCAGAGCCTCGTTCGTCATAAACGTGTTAACGTATAGCAAAATCGCATTTAGGCACTCTGTTCATTAGAATTGGGTAGTTTCCAACTAGTCTAACTTTCCAAAATGTCAAAGACGCATTTTTCTTATGAAATTTGCATGGAAAAACACTTTATGACGTCGACGACTTTATTCTGTTGGATTATTAAAAAACATGTAAATATTAAGTATAATATAGTTAAATTAATATTTATATGAAACTGCAAGTATTTTTATGGTTCTAAACCAATTGAAATAAATTCTTTTTTAAGGAAACTACCCGATTGTTTGTAAACCATATCATTTAATATCATCGCCTTTTTAAGTGTATGTTTTATTTAAGTTTTTGTCAAATCCAACATGGGTGACATTCAAAAACAAAGTCACCAAAGCAATTGTTCCTTAGTTTAACACTTTATATTTTTAAAAGATTTAATTTAAATTGAATCTGTTTATGCTTTACAATCAACTTGTTCGTGTTTATTTTAAAAACTTTATGATTTATTTTCAGTGTGTTCTTTTTTTTAATTACCATGTATCACCTCATGCATCATTTCCAATTAATCTTGACATTTCGTCACAAATTGCCAAGTTGTTGCAGATGCTACCAGAATGCTTCCCTGACCGGACGACGCACGCTTCCGAAGCCCGAGAGAACCAGCCTAAGAACAGATATCCTGACATTAAGGCCTATGACCAGACCAGGGTGAAATTATCCCAAATTGATGGCATCACTGGATCCGATTATATCAACGCGAACTATGTTATGGGATACCAGGTTGGTTCAATTTGAATTTGTTATCTCTGCTTAATTTTTATCATATTAGCTTTATATATCAGGCAAATATGATAATGTTTCATTGTGGTGGACTCTTCTCGCTTTTTTCGTCTGTCGGTCAAAAGAGATTTGTGGACCAATTTGTACTTATTTAAGATTTTGTAAACGTCGAAGACCGTGGGAGGTTTTTAGTCATGTCTGATTTTCAAACTGTTATACTGTCTGTCGATAACAGTAGACAGGATATAAATCTTTTAAAGATCACTATTTACTTAACGTCTAAATAAAAATAAACCATTAAGTAAAACTTTTGATTTACATATAATAAATACATACGAGTATTTTTGTCAACCAATTATTTTCTTGAAAATGGCTGGCAAAAGTCAATGTAATCTTCAATACTAACACCCGGTTTCTGAAAGGCTTGTCAACGCTAAAATGAACTAATCTCCTGTTAAATCTCTTGTCAAATCATCTGATTGGTTGACTGAATTATCACCAACCAATCAGATGTCTAATAATCTGGCCTTAAACATGGCCAATCAATGTTAAATTGATTTTAACATTGATCGGCCTTTCGGAAACCGGGTGTGAATATTTTAATTTAAGGTAAGTTGAAATCGCAAAATAAACATATATCATAATTACTTTCGTAAGAAATAGAAGGCATGTGAATGAATGTTTGAGGAAATAATTATAAGCAAATGTTGCCAAAGAAATGGTCAAACTTTTATTAGGTACATTTAAAATGGCCTCTTGGTCTATTGATTATAATACCATTTTTGTTTTTTGCTTTTACCTCTTAAGCAGCTTGTTTTCACTTTCTTTTGTTTTTGAAAAGCTGATACATTAAATATTTTCTGTCTAAATGTGATGTAACCAGAAATTGTTTCGTTTTCGTTTCGACCGGAGTGATACCACGGCCTCACAGAAAACCGGCGTGAAATAATCACAGCGTTGTGTTTCGCCGTGTGAGTGAGGTTACCGGAGGCCCAATCCTTCCCCTCCCCCAATCCCTCCTAAATCCCTAAATCTCCAAATCTCTAATCCCTAAAAGGTCGGCAACGCACTCGTAACTCCTCCGTTGCGAGTGTCCATGGGCGGCGCTGATTGCTTACCATCAGGTAATCCGCCTGCTCGTAGGCCGAACTATTATATATATAAAAAAAGAAAATGTATTTCCATATTTATTTGATGAAAATCTGGTACTTACTATATATAGTGTTATGAAGAAAGCATCCTCCATGTCACTATGAATACGAATATTTATCATAGCCAAATTAACAATCAGCTTTTCAAAAACACAACACCACACATTTAAAAGAAAATTAAGGTCTATTTCACAATATCTTAAAGTCACTATGTGTCAAATACATTTGTATGAACTATATGCTATATAAGTTTATCAATTAGTTATACAAGATTGGTGAAACAGGCCCCTTAGTCTGAGATAAGTAGCAATAAATAACCTATTAGTATTAGTTAGTTATTCACTAATGTTCCTTCCGTGTGACGTGTGAACATGATCTAAAATTGTCTGTCTTCTGTCCTCCGCTTACTAAGGACCCTTCGGAGCCTGAACAGGTACCGCATACCTATTGCGATACTAAATTGATTTCACATTCAATATATTATAACAGTATATAAAATATGCTTTATATTTTTGCTTAAATCGTTTGGTTGGTTCCCTGTGTCGTGAGTGCGTTTACAAACATATACACATCACAATCTAACTCTAAATAACAAGTCGTGGATCGCAAACAATTGGGTACTTTCCTAGGTCAAAAAAAAAAAATCGAACTTTCAATACAGCGCCGATAATGCTATCGATATTTTAGATAAATGGATTCATAAACTCTTTATTCTTTCTTAACTGGCACCTTTCGTTCCTCAATGACTTGACTGCAGTCTTAGTTAAATAGGTTATCTTATTTATTGAAATATATTCAGTTTACATAATATATTATAACGACTTTACAAATCCGTATTATCGACGAAAAGTTATTATACGATGACCTATTACTATGTAGTATATTATATGTCAAATATGTCAGTAATATGTTAATAAAAAAATGTGAAATCAATTTATTGATGTACAAAGCTTTCTGTCCGTTTATATGTTGTGATTTCTTAATTATTATTATTACAATACACTCTTTATTATCTGTTCGTAGCACTTGCATATTATATGGTTTGATAAACGTAGTTTCTTTGTAGCAGAAGCCTTAATTTCTATTACTTTTCTTTTATGGTTTTTGTAAGATATGTTTTGAATAATCTGGTATTGTATGCATGCAGTGGCTGTAATTTATTCTTATACACAATTATTCATATCACTTAAAAACTATGAAGTATGAAGAGAGTTTTAAAAGTTATTTTTTTGTTTGGATGATAAAATAACTAAAGTTGGTTATCCGTGTCCCATGCTTTGCGAAACAATAATTAAAATTGTTACAATATTTATCTTGTAGGGTAAGGTATAGGTTCTCAATAACAAATTCGCGAAAATTCATCTTCCCTTAAGAATACTTATTTCTAATAATATTTTTCTGTTTTTATGTAATCGAATTACATTAAAACATTTACTATTTAATTAAAATTTACTAGGAACGCAAACAGTTCATCTGCGCCCAAGGTCCGACAGACACCACAGTCAACGACTTCTGGCGCATGATATGGGAACATGGCTTGGAGCTGATCGTGATGTTGACCAACCTTGAAGAGTATTCCAAGGTCAAGTGCTCTAAATACTGGCCTGAGGAGAGATCCTCTAGGGCTTTTGGAGGTATCACTGTGCATCATATTGGTGAAAAGAGGTTAGTGTATTTTAAACTATAGTTTGATGGAAAATATAATTATATGCTTTCTCTTTCGTCTTCGTCACTGAGCCTCATAAGCGCTAATTAATGTCGTGTATTTCTATGCACATGTAAATTAAACGCATTTTAATAGTGCGATAGTACTAGTTCAGTTCTATGGTCTATATAAAGCCATTTAGGCTCAATTATATATTTATAACAATTGCGTTATCTAAATATTTAATTTAACAAATGGTACATAAATTAAGAATTCAAAATTAGAATCTATGTCCATCGATTGACGTCAATTCCTCCTCCAATCGAATGCCAATCTCATTAATGATCAAAGATTTGAATTTCGAAGGAAGAGTAACTTATATGTTTTTTTTTTCTAGATATTCGGACTACATCGTACGAGAATTGAAGATCACCAAACAGCCACTCACGGCTGATGGTCAACCGATCGTTGAAAACAATGGCATCGCCAAGAGGAATGGAGGTAATATCTTTTTTGTCGGCATATGCTATACTAAGGAAAAAAATCATGTTCTAGTAAATACCCAAGACAGAACTATTATTACTTCGTTAGCTCTGCATCGAAATAAAGGAATTCGCAATTTTTGGTAGTTTTTCGCCAGCTTTAAGCTACCCAAAATCCTCCACAACATCTTACTTCTTATCAAACTAGCATTATCTAGGCATACTTATAAAGTACACTCCTAATGTTTTGTGCTTACTAGATGGTGCTGAAGAGGAAAATAGTCTTATTAGTCCAACGATGGTAACTGCTAAATTTTTTAAAGTCTTAACTTTGACTGCGTTTGCGTTGTAAAGAGATTAAAACGTCAAAGTCAATGTCAAAAATGTTTTGTTCCAACTAGACCATAACACAGGTAGTATTGGAACGACAAAATATAACAATAGTAAGTCAGTCTTTCGTTAGAGAAGCTAGGCTAGGTCGGTCGGTTGGTCGTGCTTGATCAGTTTTAACATAAATACATATTATAACATTTGTTGAAGATTGATGATAAAATCATTTGATGACTCAAGTAAAGTTTGCGAACAGAATAACAAGGATAAAAAATGTACATCTATTAGCAAGTTGCTACTATAGTCAGAATTTTAATTCGATTCCTGATTTGACATGACCTACTGTCATTTTGTGAAATAATGATACCACATATGACAGTGTAGTGATGAACACAAAAATCGATAAACAATCGGTGAATCAGTTTCAGGAAGGCATTCAAAAAATTACGGCTGCCGAATGGTCTAAATGCGTATCCTATATTGTCAAAGAAGAGGAAAAAATGAGTAAGCTAGTTATGTTAATTGACAATAAAAATCACACACACAATTCATAATAAATGTTACAGAAAGTAACAGCGATAGCAATAGCGATGACGGCGACAGTTTGTAAAATGTCTGTTTTATTTGTCACGTTCCTTCATGATCATATTTTTTATTAATTTCACACACAATTACAAAAGAAAAGTCTCAGACCGATAATTAATTGTCAAAACTAAATTATCGGTTCAGGAATATTTTATTGCCTGATAAACTTAGTTTACGAGAGTAAATTTATAAACGAGAGGAATCGATTCAGAAATATTCGATTTCCACATCGAATAATTTCGCAACGTCACTATTTATTACGTGTCCTAACGTTGCAACACTGAAATTGTCAAATCTGGAATGGAATTAAAATTCTGAGTATAGACACGATTCGCCTCTCATGGTCGTAAGGTCCTCCATTTTCCTATCTTAAAGAACTTTAACTTTTCACTGTTCAATAAGCAAAGTGTATGTATATCTAACATATATCATAGATAATATACTACCTAGAGCAACAAAGTTAAGGTCTTTCGTTGTTTTAATTTTTAATATGTATTTTTATAGATATAAAAGAAGCATCCGAGTCGAGTGCCCCGACGTCCCCTCGCGAGGTGAAGGAGAGCGGCGAGTGTCGCATCGTGCGCCAATACCACTTCCTCATGTGGAAGGACTTTGCAGCCCCTGAACATCCACATTCCATACTCAAGTTTATTAAGGTGAGAACTACCCATTCTCTATGTACTTATTAAATTATAACTATTAGTTTTGTCTACCTATGGATAGCGCTGTGGGTTAGTTTCTGTCTATCTATCTATTCTTGTCTTATTTTTTGTAACTGCATTAAGAAAGTTTGCAATCCCAATAAACAAAAATAAAATGTTTTTGAGTACCGTGGACATACCTATTTGTTTGAATATATGAGGTAATTTGGGTAATTTTTACTTATAATTTTATGTCTGAAGTGGTTACAATACACTATTACAGTAAAAATATTTCCTTGTTTAACTTACTTAAGTAACTTATACCGGGTGTGCCTATTATACCGGGTGTAAAAAGAAAAGGAAGAAAGAAGAGTTGTTGCGAAGTAAAACGTCGACCTACGTATTTATCACAGCGATTTCATGCTAAGCTGTGACCCTACGCACACAATGACACGAAGCCCGTTTGCTTTACATTGCGCGCAATATTTTTTTTTTTTATACCTAAACATAAAAGTCGTTTCCCAGTGATAATTTTAGCGTAAAGCTACTTAATTAGAACTGCAGTATGCGTAGTTAACGGCTTCGTTAAGTGTCTTTTTACGCCCTGTATATTTTTTAATACTTTCATCAAATTTGATTGTCAAATAGACAACCTTAAATCACGTAAGGATACAGAAACTTTGCTTTGTTTCTCAATTAACTATTTATATTTGTTACAGAGAGTAAACGAAGCATGGACAAGTATGGTGGGTCGTCCGGTGGTAGTCCACTGCAGTGCCGGCGTGGGTCGCACTGGTACGCTAGTGGCGCTGGACTGTCTACTGGAACAACTGCGGGCCACTGGGCAAGTGTCCGTCTTCAACACCGTCGCCGAACTCAGGAGGCAGAGGAACTTCTTGGTGCAGTCGCTGGTGAGTTGTGATTGAGACGAAATTTATTTTTCAACACACTTCCTAATAAATTGGTTCTAATTCCACAGCAATTAGGCACGTAATGACACCTATAATCAAACTGTGAATACAGTTCTTTTTTAAATAATTGGTTGATTTAGTACGTCGTTAAACTTGCGCTTAAATTCTATCCGCGAAAAGCCCAAAAAAAGAAACCTAATTTTTTAGTCTATGGTCGATGCGCGCGCATAGGAATACTCATAAATTTTTTCCTGCCATTGCGAAACATTTTTTATTTAAGTATTATTTTATGCAGAAGTGTGTTGAAAACGTCGTATATTACATGTGTGTACTGATAATTACCGTCCTCGGCTCGTTACGAACCTCGCCTGAAGGCTCGGGCCTCAATGCGCCTCTGCGGTAATCACTAACATAAGACACTTGTGCCATAATGTACTATTATGCTATTGTAATAATTAAATTAAATGTAAGCACAGGATAACACCCTGATAATCCTTTTTTACGTCCAATTTCTAGGGTAGGGAATGTAGTATCGGGGTTTTTATGATGTTAAACTTAAATAGCACGTAGTTTTGACTAGTCGCTAATGTTCTGGTGAACTCATAGCGCAATGAGGCACCGCGACCTCGGCCCAGAGCAGGAGAAGGAACAGGGGGTTTCTAGTCAGTAAGAGTCTGACACTCCCTCCCGCCCGGCCTTGGGCGGGAGAAGTTATTTGATGATTTTCCCCTCACCCCATTCTATAAGCAACAAAAATTTAATTCTAGACTTAAAAAACTATTTTATATAAAGTTTTGAGTAGTAACTATTGTGAGACACACAAAATCCATTGATAATAACGTTTTACGTGAATTAACTGAGAAAAGCTCTACTTGTTTCAAGTTACAACATTAATTCTTCATTAACTTATCCTCAACAGAAACAATACGTGTTCGTATACCGCGCCTTAGTGGAATACGCTCACTACGGCGACACGGAGATCCCCGCCTCACGCCTCAAGCCCGCCGTGGACAGACTGCGCAACACTCCCGACCATGCTGATAAATGTCTTATGGAAGTCGAATTCGAGGTTAGTATATGAACTTTAATTTATAAACTACTTTGAAGTGTTTACAAACACAATTTTTTTTTTATGTAATAAGTCGGCAAACGAGCAGTCGTATTACCTGATTGTAAGCAATCAACGCCGCCCATGGACACCCGCAACGGAGGAGTTACGAGTGCGTTGCGACCTTTTAGGGATTAGGGATTTGGAGATTTAGGGATTGGGGAGGGGAAGGATTGGGCCTCCGGTAACCTCACTCACACGGCGAAACACAACGCTATGGTTGTTTCACGCCGGTTTTCTGTCAGGCCGTGGTATCACTCCAGTCGAGCCGACCCATTCGTGCCGAAGCATGGCTCTCCCACACTTGATTAATTTCACGTACACAAGACACCCAGACCCGGAACAACAATTTTCGAATCACACAAAGAGTTGTTCCGTGCAGGAATCGAACTCGCGACACAATGCGCTGCATTCAGTTGCCCAGCCACGGCGCCAACCGTGCAGTTAAATTAGTTATGAGATCAGACGGAGAGATCAGATAATTTGTAATTATATGTTTTTGACTTCCGCCTCCATAGAAAATGCTGAACAGTCCAGTAGCGGAACCTCTGAAGTCTATGGGCGCCGGCGCAGGCGAGGAGCTGCGCGCGCGCAACCGAAGTCCTGACTGCCTGCCCTACGACAGGAACCGGGTCATACTCACTCCTATACCCGGCAGGGATTTCTCTACGTACATCAACGCATCGTTTATTGAAGGTAATGGTATTAAAGAGATGCTCATATTTTGTTGTCTTATATTTCATAGACTGACAATGTTAAACTTATAATGGCAACCTAGAAACATAATTTATGGACTATGGTCCCCAAATAATTGGCACCGCAAGGTAAGCAATGGGCTCCGCCTAATAGCATCTGCAACGCCAGAAATGTTTTATGTGCTTCAGGAATTCGTCATTATGGATGGGGAGGAAATATTGGATCTCTGGTAACCTCACTCGGGGGTAACTCGCACGAGAAAATACGACTCAAACGTTACATATAGGTTTCAAAATTATTTGTTTATTAATATTATAATTATTTTTCTTTCCCAGCCTACGACAACTCGGAAGGTTTCATAATAACGCAGGATCCGCTACCGAACACGATCATGGACTTCTGGAGGATGGTGTCAGAACACAATGTCACCACAATCGTCATGCTCAGCGAGGTATGTACTTATTCCAATTGCTAGTCAACCTGAATTGAATTGAAACCAACTTATTCTCTACATTTTAAAAGAGTAATGATGAAATTTCTTGCTCATTAGCCATTCTTCTCCAATTGAATCTTCAATTAGGACAGGCACGTAGCTTCACTGACGAACCAACTGACAGACTACTACTCTATTTTGACGTTTCAAAAGTACCTGTTTATGATTTTGACATTGATTATTAGCATAGCATAGCTGCGAATGCGCGCCGCAATATTGATATGTCGTGTGCGGGGTGGGTCACGCGCGTTTCCGCTTTTTAGAAAAAAAGTGTGCAACAGATTAGTGAGTTTGATTGACGTACTGCATCGTTCCCTATTTCCTGCGCAAATAATTTTATTTAGTTATTTCTTTTAAATCGTTGGCCCATACTAGAATTTTCTCCTGTGTCGTGGGTGCGTTTGCAAACATACAATTTTACATACACATCACACCCAGACCCGGAACAACAATTTATGGATTACACGAAGAGTTGTTCCGTGCAGGAATGAGTCGCGACACGAACGCGGTAGCCAGTCGCCCAGCCACCGCGTCAACAGTGCAGTCATTGCTTTTATTTTATTGCTCAGCAGTGGGCACTTATAGGCTGATGATTATTTAACAATTGTGTAACTAAGTTGACTATTTCTTACAGCTTGGCGAAGGTAAATGTCCGCGGTACTGGGACGATGGTACAGTCCAGTATGAACACATCTCAGTGCAGTATGAGGAGAGCGAATCCTGTCCCTATTACACCAGGAGACAGTTTAGGGTAACGAATGATAAGGTCAGTAATGGAACTTGTTTTTGAGGTTTCTTAATGTTTTGTGTAAAACTAGATTATTGGCCCCACTTAAATACGTTTAATGATTACTTATATGTATTCTTTAGTAACGAGTTTGTTTCTATTTCAATTGCTAAGGATTGGGTTAAGTAATCATTTAATGATTATGTATGTTGGATTTTGTATTTACGTTGATTATGGTAGTATTGTAGTTGTATAATGTTGGAGTTGATATTTAGTGTAATATGCTACGTATATTGTCGTTAGAGCGGCGAGGTGGTGTTGGTCCGTCACCTGCAGTACCAGGGCTGGCCGACGGCGCGCGGCCACGTGCCGGAGGTGACGCGCGGCCTGGCAGACCTCGCCGACGCCGCCGCGCCCGCCCTCGCGCCCACCATGCTCGTGCACTGCCAGTACGACACTACTTTATTATTATTATTAGTTTGTTAACTTCCATTCATGGGATCACAGGGTCCCGGACCTTTGGAAGGCGTACTAGGGGCCGAAGCCAACTCGCAGAGGCCATCAGAGGTGATGGGACATCAGCCGGCAATTATCCCTGTATGCACTATAAAAGTGCACCCAAAGACAATCCCCGGTTGATGCAGGACTATTGTAAAATGTGGTAAAAATTGATAGGGTTATGGGTATGGGCTACACTAGTGAATGAAAACAATGGAAATACTATGGCCCCCACCCCTGACCAATATTGATACATACGGATAAACAGGCAGGGGGTGACTGGCAAATCAATTAATGGGCCCCCCGGAAACGGCCGCTAGCATGTAGCGACACGGAGGCAATATACGTTGAGCTGCTTGGGAAAGGAGAGGCATCCCACGGCTATCAGAGCAATCCCGGAAGTACGGTCAAGACCCCTACTAGCACCTTACTGAGATACATCCTTCCCCCGAGTCTCCTTCAACTCCTACTCTTGCGAATCTCCATTATAATTATATCGAGGGGCAAGGAAGGCAGTCATCAAATATAGTGTACACTTTTCTTAATACTAAGTCATGTTTTAGAGAGTATGCTTCTCTTCCTAGAGCAAACTTACATCAACAAGTTACATCTACTAAGAGAAGAAAATGGATTTGGTAATTCTTTTATTAATATCCGTCCTCTCCCCCCAGATTTGGTACGGAGCGATCCCCCCTATTCGTGGCGCTATGCACGCTAATCCGCGCGCTGCGCGTGGAGCGGCGCGTCGACGTCAGCGCCACCGCGCGCGCCGTACGTACCCAGCGGGCACGCACCATCGATACCTTCGTAAGTACACCATACATCATGCAACTAATTACTTATTTATTTATTTAAAAATAAGCACACCAACTATACAATCACCCAATGTTATACAAAAAACAATTTGTATGGAGAAACTAATAATATTACTCATACTAGCTTTGGCCCGCGACTTTGTTTGCGTGGACTAGCGACTTTCTGCAGATTTATGTTTAAAAAACTATCCTATGTTTTTTCTCGAGTTCCAAACTATGTCTGCACCAAATTTCACACATATAGGTTCAGTAGTTTAGGCGTGAAGAAAAGACAGATAGAGCTACTTTCGCATTTATAATATTAGTTTGGATTACTATTCGAAAGCAATCTCTAACATATCATAGCCAAGTTTTCATAACTTAATTTAACACTTTTATAATGTATACGGAGAAAAAGTTCAGTAAATGAATGACGAAAATTTAATAAAGTTCAGAATGCAATTGAATTTAGAAATTGTATTTACATTTAAATCAAATGAACAATAATTAATCTTTCTTCTTCCACAGTTACAATACGAATTCCTGTACCGTGCCATACTCAACTACGCGGAACTACACAATCTACTAGAGGACAGTTAAGCGATACCTCAATATTCCCTAAATCTCTAATCCTAGTACCGTCCTAAGGCTGACCCTTAGGACTCCGCCTTTTAAAGGTCCTGTGAATAATTTAAACTGACCTTTTACCTCCGGCACTGCCTAATTTATAGAGCTCTTTTGTATATTAAAACTAGATTTTTTAATAGTTGTCCTTCTCGGTAATTGCAACTTTATTCATTCAAAATTCCAATTACATAGGATAGGTAAATTCAGCTTAAAGAGGTTACAAATATTTTGATTAAGATGAAAGTATAAAAAATCCCTGGCTTTTCATATGCTTACATTGATTTATGACCGTTTTTGAAGCATATTCTTTCTTTTTTTCAATTCTGTTCGTTTAATGTTTTCGTCTTCTTACTAAAAGGCTTTTATCGTTGTTTCTAGGTAAATAGGTAAAAAACATGATAATTAAGAGGATATTTGTTTTTCAGTATTGACAAAGTAACAAAAAAGAGGCTACTGAAATTTTCTTTTATTTATTATTAGGTTGTCCCGTCTGGTTTTGTATGAAAGAGCTCTAATTGTAGATATTACCTTTGGAATGTACTGTACGCCTATACGTTGTCAGGCGCTTTACGTATTGAAGTGTCTTCGTATTTTATAAATGGCATGGACTTTAAGGCCTATAACCATATTCACGATATGGTACAATCTCTCCCCGCCACCCTAGCGGACTATCGAACAATACATACAGTTTAAGACTAATTTTTAAGTATACATTTTGTATATTTGGTGTTTTATTATTTGTTTAATTTACAGATTTATAAGACCTTTTAGTTGACGGCGATTGATCAATCGTTAATATGTATGCAGAAGATTTATCAATCATGTGTAATAGGAATGTTATGTATACGGTATTTCGGATCTCAATTTAGATAAAAAATTATATCAGTTATAGATATTTGATTGAAGAAAAATTATCAAAACGAACTAATAACGATAGAGGTTTTGTTTTGACAAGAAACAATAATCAAACTTTAAAATTAACGTTGCATGTAGACTGTTTAGGCTTGGCTCTTATCCGTATGCGGTTAGGGATATAATTTTATTTCCAATAAATGATAGGATTATTGAGATTACGAAACTCCATAATTCAGTACAAAGTCCCTGGTTAATCAGTATACAAATGATTGACCAATCGCGTGTATTAATAAATTTAAGATTGATCAATCGTTGTTACTAATCGTGGAAGGTTATTGACCTATCTAATATTATGTTTATATTGGATATAGTATGATGTTTACCCTATACTGCTCACCGTAGGTGCTTTTTATACATTTTGGACAAGTTTATCTTGTAAACGAATTTATATGTATTATTTTAAAAGTTTTTTGCATTAGCATGGAAACTGTTATGTGAAAATAAATGAATTTTAATAATTAGAATGTGGGAATGTCGATAAATTAACGCACAATTTTGGAGTAGATTTGTTTTAGGGTTTGAAGTTGTAAAACATCATAACGCGTGCAGCGTAAATATGAATGATGGCGTTTAAATTCTTATAACAATTTCTATGCTAATGTAACTAAGGTTGAAATTTAATAAACGTTACTATGGACAAGATTCGGTAACAGATTTTCTTTGAAAAAAAAAATGACGTCATTTATGTCCTACCTCGGCGGCGTCTCTGACGAACTTAAGTCTTTAAGGCTGTAATATTACGAAAAAAATTGTTGACCATAAGAAAGGGCAATTATTTTACAAGAGGTCTTTATTATGACCATAGATTCTCTGTGTACCCTTTATTAATCAATGAAGAGACCTTTACAAGGAAGATGAATATTACCGGTTCATGAACACAGTAACATTTATTAAAATAAACCAAATGTATGTTATGTTCAACTATAAATATAATGTTTTTACGTTATTGCTTTACAAATGTATGTACAAAAGATCATCACTACCATTTTGTTTTTATCTCAATATAATTTCGAAGTATACTTAGTAGATAGGTTTATTATAAAAGCTTCAGCTTCAACTAATTTTTTAATCATCAAACAAGATTTTTTAATCGCAACTTGAACTCGTAATCAAAATATAAAGTTTCTGAACAACTGTATTGTAAGAAAAGAACTAGAAGTACATATTGTACAATGATCTTAATCTAAACGTGGTACACAAGCGAATTTGAATTGTATTTCTTATGAAATTAGGTCCAAAGTCGACATAATGAGACGCAGCTCTCCATGTCATGCTATTTGGGTCTTTGAGGTACGAGTATTCTGAGTTTAAATTCGCTTGTCCCCAAAAATTGTTCAGGAATCTTATAAGCTACAATTCTACACACGCCCCTAGTGATAGATCTGTCGTTATAACAATATTACTGTATTATTTTATGTAATAATTATTATTAATTGTAATTTTATTATTATTATTATTTTTGGTATAAATCGTACCAAAATGAAATCGTGTCCAAAGACGTATAAGAAATAAAAAAAAATATCAAGGCATAAATGTGAAGTGGAAACTACGTATTTATTTGTTAAATTAAAAATAGGAGGCCATATTTAAATGCATTTTTAAAGGTTTTAAGTTACTTTTGAGATGATAAGGTTTTTAAAAAACCTCAATTTGATGATTCGAGGCCAAAATGACGATACCCCAAGCTAGCACAAATTTTTAAAACAAATGAGGTGTATGAACTTTTGATGTGACGTATCGTGTGTTTAAAATAATCATTTGTGTGTGTTTACAACAAAAATGTGTTTATTATCATTATAACTTGTGTTATTTTTACATGGAAAAACTTTAGGTTCAAAATAGGACTGAACCAGAAAAGTCCTCTGTATTCCGTCAGTTAATGGTTAATTAACGCAGACCTTAGTCATTGTTGTTGGAACAAAATTTTATCTCGGAATAAAAAAAACTGTCGTCTGTGTCTCCTCTGGTGGTGCTCGTGGGCCATGAGCAGCGCTAATCACTCACAACCAGGTGGTTCCGTCTGCTCATACGCATAAAGCAATTACATCTTCAGTAAATGCGTTATTTTAATCATTTCAACAACGCCAAAATCTATATCATCTTCAGAACTTGCTGTAGTGGTAAGAAAATCTTAGTGATATCCTTCTATTACTCTAATTGACTTGTTTTGCCATGTAAAAGTAACACAAAATAGTCACAACACCTCATAAGTTAACTTTTTGATGTTTTTACCATATTTCTATTTCATTTTGTATTGATATTTTGTCGTTGGTTGACGAAACTTTACTGGTATTACTGTATGGTTCTCATTCTAGCTAGATTAAATTATACCCACGTGTTTTCTAAAAAATAACATTTTAATGTTCATTGAGGTTTTGGTAAAAAGTTCACTTTTATATAAAAAATAACTCGACCTTTACTAAATTTGACTTATAACAGTGGGTATATTTCAAGTACATCTGTGCTTACCCTTTTTAAAATAACAGGAGATGAAAAACTTAGTAACTAGTAAGCATGTGATAATCCTAACATTAAAATGACCAAAAAATCAGTCAAGTTTCGTTAGCCAACAGATAAGTATCAACGCATGATAAAGTGGGATGCTTAGTTCCGTACTGTATGACTGTCGATCTATTTGTAATGTAGTCTAAGCTGTATATCTAGATTTTGTATGAGCTAAACAAAATATACAATGTTGATGTTGAATGTGAAATATTTGTGAACACTGCTTCCATGTTCATTTCGATTCTACCAATAATTTTTCTATTTTATTTATGGTAACATTAAATTACCAAATTTGGTAGGTTTTTGTACCCTAACTAGGGTAACACCAGCTTCGCCTGATATTGTACAAAATTTTTGAATTTGCTTTCCTCGTTTCTTTATTTTATACGTATTTATTATTAAAAGTTACTTTTAGTAGTTATTAAGTTAGTTTTTACGTCTTTTGTTACAGTTATACAAGATATTATTTATTTGAAAATCTACAATCAATCTTTATATGCATGCTTTATTATATTTTAAGTCCACACTGAAGTCTGACGGTAACAATTTCTTTATCAACATGAAAAATCTGTTTTATTTTTAATTTCTTCTAGAAAATGCATTATCTATGCTTGCTCTTCCAAAAGATAGGTCATTTATCAAAAGTATTTCGTTATAATTTTACCTCAACATAGGTAATTATAATATTTTTTCTTTGTATTTTTTTTATGAATCAAAATGAACATGCAAGCAATTCGTGTCGTCCATTGATATCAGTAGAAAGATGATGGATGTTACCGATAATTCGGATGACTGAATGAACATTTCAGGAGTGGTTCCTTACGTGTACGGCTTTTCATTACATTTTCAGGGCCTATTCATGTTATACAAGATAGTATGAAACTCTTAACGGCTATTTCATAACCTTCATAAAAGTTGTTCACTATATGGTATGTGATTCTGTGTAGGATTAAAATGCAGTCTCTAGTTACAGTATTTTTGTACTCAATTCGTTATTTTATTAAATTACATACAGGCGGTTTTAAATACCGGGTAAGTTCGGGTTACTTTGACCCTGCGGGGTAACTTTAATCCAAACCCTTTAACCAATAATAACTGAGAACCAAACATATATTCGTTTTTCATTGGTTCGAAAATTTGTATCAAAGTTACCTCCCAGGGTCAAAGTAACCCGAATTTACGGTATTCCATTATTACATCGTAAGTTGACATTACTTTTTAGGATTTCTTTTATCAAGAAATATGCCATGTCTACTTACAGATTATTGTAATAGAATTATTATACCAGTGTTGCCACAATAACATGGTAGGTCTATACTATAATACAGCTTTAATAAATCATTTTGTCATTCGCATTCCATGTTGACATTAGATATAGAATCTCAAAACCCCATTAGGAAATCGTAGTACATGCTCATTAAACAAATTACACGTACGGAACCATATCTGTTTATAAGTATCGTGTTATAAAGGGACTTTCATCGTACTCGTAAACATTTTTAAAATAACTATTAATTTATTACTTTAATTCCTACCCGTAAAAGGCTATGACATCTGAAAATTTTTCAACAATTTATACACAAGAACATTTTATATTTCTAAGTAAATATTGACTGAATATTTTAATTTTATATTAGAAAAGTATTATCGTTTTTGTTTCAGTATTTTTTGGAAAGTAACCTTTGCTATGTTCCAATGCAAATTCAACCCTAAAGTGTTAATGAAATGGTCGGAAATGTTACGTAAGTTCAAACTCACCGCGAAGTGATCTCTTGTATTGTGTTCAATTAATTTATAATTTTTTCGAGAGTACGTGTAAGTCCCGGGAGCGACTGAAAATGGCGTGTTTTTTATTAGCTTTTTTATATAAATGAACAGTAGGAATGTTACTACAATTTTTTTATAAACAAAACTAGATAGTAAGGTAGGCTAGTAATTTTTGGATGTACTAAGATTGGGGTAAGCGTGGTCTGAAGAGCTTTTAAACTATAAATTCTGTGTGTAAATAGTTTGTTTTAGAAATACATTATTTATAAGCATATGTGCACTTAGTAGTAGTGTTGATACGAACGTCTTTTTTACTTAGTAACGGCCTCAAAACCGTTGACGCTCAATGAAATATCAGATACTGTTTGATATTGCTGTCTTTTTCACACTAATCATGTTAAAAATAAAGTATGTCGCTAAAACTTAGTTACTGTCTAATTTGTGTAATGTTGGTAGGAAAGAGACAGTGATATCAGACAATTGATTTAGCAAGATTTATTAAGTATAAAATATCTTGCTCAATACAAAAAGGTTCTATCACAAATCTTAGACTAGTATGACGAACAAACATCCTCCCCTTTTAGCTTATATTGTGTGCTTCAATTAGTAACTCGGGAACCAAACTTACACCAATCTTGGTAGGTACAAACCTCCTTCTTGGAGGTCGAAATTTATAATAATAAACATTAAATACAAGCTCAGACCGCTTCTACATAGTGTATATGTACGCTTTTTATATTAAATGGGCTTAATTGTGTAAAAAGAGGCATTAGGTTACAAAAAAAACATTGATATTATGAATGTAATCGAAAACAGTCTCATGAGTGGACAACTATGGCTATTTTGTCAACTGATGCCTCTTCCTACAAAATATTTATTGTGCGGCGATATTTATGTTAATTCTAAAATGTATACCGATAAGTATCTACAAAATTATTGCTATTTAGGTAACTAAATGAGATAATGAAAATTATTTTCCTATCTAAACGCACTGCACTATACATAATATCAAGATAAAAGAATCAAAATTATTTTTCAAAATGAATGTTGGTATCTCAAGATTGCACTGGCGATCTTGCTATTTTGTAAATATATAATTAGTAAGTTTTTCCGTCAAGACATTTGGTACTGTTTAACGTAATGTTTCTCGTTTTATTTAATTGTAGCGATGCATTGGCGGTTGTAAAACTGATTTAATATTAATTTGTTTTTATTTTTGTAAATAGATAAGCAAGTCATGTAATACAATATTTTTGAAAATATACCAATATTTAGAAAGATGACTTTTATTTTTTACCCACTGATTTGATTTACAACAATGGGATTGACTAGAATCCCCATCTTTCAGGGTAGATGTTATTACTAAATTACTTCATATTTTGACATCCCCGACATTTTAATTATAGATATTGTGAATCCTGTTGTGGGCAGATATTGATATTGATGTGGTCCATCTAAATTACAACTTACAATGCTGTGTAAATACCAACTCCAAGCGACTGCGTACTGCATAACATTCACGGAATAACATTAAACCTCATGCTGCTACTCACCGCTAGATGGCGTTGTACCACGAATCTATTATATCTTTAGTTATTGTTTTTGAAGGTAGTTGTGTTTATGTGGTTTATCTAGATACCCGACAAAAGTATACTTCAACATAACTAAAGTTGAAATGTTCACACAAACCTTTGTTTTTGGCCGAAAATGTTTGAATATTTCATTTACAGATTATTTAAAATATGATCGATGTGGTACCTAACCTAGCAAGTAGTCGAGAGATAATTATTTGCTTAGCTATTAGAATTACTTCTCGCCCTCCTTCGTTCATTAGTTGATCCAAGGTAGGCTATACTGTACCGTCTGTACAATATTGTAGAATCTACTGATAGACAATGAAAGCTGGATATTGGTAATAATAAAATTCAAACAACCAACTTTACAAACAACAACAAATGTCAAATAAACAATGTCAACCACGACAGCCAATACAAAATTCCAGTAAAAATAACACAACACATATAAAACTTTAAAAAATGGCTTAAAATACCAGAACAATGTTTCTAAGACCTTTTCTCGGCCGCTTCATCCAGCCAAAATTATGCTATTCCATGAAGAACAATAAAAGTTTAAGACCTACTGTTAGAATCGGTAAAGAATCATTTCACTTAAGGGTCCACGTGAATAATTACAATAAGGACGAGATTCGAGTGAAAGCACACCCAGAATACGTGGTAATTGAGGGAAAACAGGAAAAGGATACAAAAGAAGGTTATATTTTGAGACAATTTATAAGAAGATTCAAGTTGCCAGAGGGTTGTATCCCTTCAGAAATGACGTGTAGGCTGAGCCCTGACGGAACGTTGAAAATAGTCGTTCCAAGAATGTATAAGGATTCAGCAACTCCAGCAGAAGTAATATCCGTCCCCATAATTTATGGTTCCTTTGTAACCGACAAGGAAGAAATAAAAACGACAAAGCCAGCTGAAGAAAAGAAAGACCACTATACTGTATGTAAAGAGTTTCCAAAAGTAAAACCCAAAGATAATAAATAAATGGAGATATTTATAAGTTTACCTATATCTTAAAAGTAAAGAAGAAAATGGATCGTTGAATTAGGTACATGGTTGTCAGGTAGAACTCAGCTTAAAATATGTTCACAAGGAAATTCACTAAACACGCTGTTTTTCACCTTATTGACTTATTTCTATTGAAAGCTTAGTACATCCTGCCAACTGATTCTAATCAACCAATTAATCTGTAGAATAAAGCAAGATATGTCCATAATCAACTCAAGTTCTTATAAAAAATATAAGTGTGGGAGAGCCATGCTTCGTCTCGACCGGGTGATACCACGGCCACACAAAAAACCGGCGTGGAACAACTACAGCGTTGTGTTTCGCCGTGTGAGTAAGGCTACCGGAGGCCCAAGCCTTTAATAAAAAAAAACCTATTAAATTAGCAACAAAAGTACCTAATCTAAGCTTAAAATTAAATCGATCAATGACACCTAGTAGGTATTATTATTTATAGATTTATTTGCGAAAACATTTTTTGACTGAATCATCATCCTATACAAGCATTTCTGAGTAATCTATTAAAACTGCTTTCCTTAATAGTGTAAACATTAGATCTATCAACAATTCTAAAGTTCCAAATACTTGACGCAAATATTCTAAAAATAATTCAATGAAACGAAAGAATTTTACAAACTTGTTTTTCGTAGGCGAACTATCTTATTATAAGTAGACGATGAACCAATAAGCTAGAGCGCACAGATGACGCGGTGGCTGGACTACGGGCTGCCGTTCAACGTGTCGCAGGTTCGATTCGGACACAAAACAACTCTGAATGTCATCCACGAATTGTTGTTCCGGGTCTAGGTGTCATTTGTACATTAATAGAAAATAATCCTCCTGCGTCGCAACGCTTTCAAATATATATATGAACAGACAGACCTTTACTGTTTAGGTGGACCCTACTCAATACTATAAATATATATATATTTTTTTGTAATGACGTTGTTATATCCATCTTCATTCATTTCTAGTGTTTTCTGGCAACGAATGAGAAGATAGAATAATTACGACACACCTTACGATTTCGCATATTCTTGTTTATCAACAAAAATAGATGATTTTCACACGACCTACTGTTATTCGGATATGTATATCTACATATATTATAAGAAACTTACATATTAAAAGGCGGTGAAAGGCCTGCAGAGGGAGGTTATGAGTGCAAGCAATTACCTAATGTATCTAGCCCGGAACAGGAAACGAATGAAACGGGATGTCTTTTATAATTTGATGACTTTGCCAATAACATTCCAATAAATAAAATATTTCTTAATATTAGAAGCTGGCAACGCAATATTTTAATCGTAGCTTCACTGGTGAGCGTTTAATGGACACCCTTCCAACTTTTAATAGGTATTAATATTAGCTCATTTTACTCCTTGGTTAGCGTAGTGACTGGGCAATGCGCTGTGCACAGTGCGACGTGTCGCGGGTTCGAGTCCCGCCCAGAACAACACTTTGTGTGATCTACAGATTGTTGTTTCGAGTCTGGGTGGATTGTGTATGTGAATTTGATGTTTGTAGACGCAACTACGACACTGAGGAAAATCATAGCGTGGGGCATCTCGTATCAACAATGTTTAATCAGATTCTAAAGCAGTAGGTAGGTTAGAAACTGAGTTTTCCTCGTCAAACTGGTATTGATTGCAATTAATGTCAACTCCATCAATCACACCTACTTATAAATATAGAATGTGCATAGTACAAAGATTATTTAATCCGTGTTATGCTGAGAGCTACAAAAGTTGCTAAAATAGTATTCTTGTATTTTCGATGGACTTTTACATTTATCATCAACATTTAAGGTTAGTGAAAACCATGTTGTTATCCTAACTAAATCAAATTAGTACCTACTGATGACCTAATGACCGAGCTTTGTTCAATAAGCTTTTTTTTTTGGAAAAATAATTCCTAATTTGATCCCAAAATCTTCAATGATGTACGAATTCAATGGAGCAGTTTCCTACATCTTGTGAATATATAGTATATAGATCTAAAAGAATTGATCATTTAAAGGTATTAGATTAAAATACAATCTTTATCTAAACTACATTAATACAATAATTTAATTGATAAACTCAATAGGACATCGTAAAACAGGCCCTAAAAGTAAACACAAAATTGACACGATTACACGAACAAAACCCAAAACAATCCGCGTGCAGAGCTAGCTGTAATCTCCATACATCATTTTCTGTATGCATCGGGAACTTTCTCGTTCCAAATACTATCGAGACTCGAGACTCATGCCAGATGTGAATCACCGCGCGTATATATAACACGGCCGACTCCTCTATTCCCGTAGACTGAAACGAAACGCGAATACATCAACACAACACAACAAAAATGTCTCTAAGACCTTACTTCTTCGACTACGACCTTCCAAGATGGCCGCGACGCCTCCTCGACCAGAACTTCGGCCTGACTGTGACTCCTGATGACTTAATGTCAGCTTCAGTCAACCCTATCAGTCCAATCATCGCTGGAGTCCAACCTTGGTGGCCAAAGAGTTCCGGTTCTTCAATCAAAGTGGAGAAGGACAAATGGCAGATCAACGTGGATGTCCAGCACTTTTCTCCTGATGAAATTTCAGTGAAGATCAGTGATGGATACATTGTAGTTGAAGGTCAGCACGAGGAAAAGGCTGATGAACATGGTTTTGTGTCTAGAAAGTTTGTGAGAAGGTTTAAGTTGCCAGAGGAGAGCAATCCTGATACTGTGGAGTCCAGGTTATCTTCCGATGGAATCCTGACTGTGGTGGCTCCGAAGAAGGCTGAATCTATCAAAGGTGAGAGACCAGTGCCCATAACTCATACCGGACCGGTTCGAAAAGAAGTCCTAGAGGACTCCAAGAAAGAATAGAGACCGGAGACTGTATTGTGAGACTGTTTCTATAATTGTGTTAAGTTTTAAATTTATTGTTTTATAAATAAAGTTCTTTTTTCAACGTTTTCTATATGTGTGTTGATTTTGTTTACCTGTTTGTGTTATTTGAAATATTCTATTTTCAAGTACGGGTAGTGTACCCCATCGCTTATATCCTGATACAAGCATAATATTATTATGTTTAAAAGTCAATTTGAGGATCGAATTGAACTTGAGACCTCATGGTTCTTTTAGACAGTTGGTAACTCACGCAGAACAATTGCGAACAATCGACCTACGATACATTGGAGATATACCTATATTAAGTTTCATTTTTATGCGAATGTTGTGCACATCTAGGTACTTATTATTGACACTTACACTAGAATAAGACCTTTAAAATTTTTGTGCTTGTGTTGTTGATGTGCCTTAAATAAATAAATAAATACCTAATACCTATAAAAAAATTAAATGAAAAATCATTCATATGTACAATGTCGTAATGGTACAACTTTTGCTATAAAAATATGAATATTACGTGAGAGGATGATATTTTTAAACGTGAAGCTATTTTGGTCCGCGTTCACGAACTTTTGTTTACTAAAATAGTTTCCCATTGATTTTTCATCATAATATGAAACTAGTCAGGATGAGAAAATGTTTATGCTTATGTTGCATGCCTTTGTTGTAAGATTTTAGTACATACAAGCGTGGAAGAGCCATGCTTCGGCACGAATCTTCAGTTAAACCTGGGTGATATGACGACCTCACAGAAAACCGGCGTGAAACAACTGCAGTGTTGTTTCGCCGTTTGAGTGAGATTACCGAAGGCCCAATCCATCCCCTTCTCCCTTCACTTCTCAAAACTCCTTTTCCAAAAGGTAGGAAAACTCTTGCAACTTATCAGGGGGGTAACCATAACGTTCAAAGTAAGATTATTTTTATCTTACTTAGAAAGAGATATACAAGTTGTCTAGCTCTGTCTCTTACCCACACTGAAGTAAGATTAAAACAGTCTTTCTTTGAATGTCATAGTTACCCCCCAGGTGTCCAGGTTGTCCATGGGCGGCGCTAATTGCTTACCTACGATGAGGTAAAATAAAAAGTTTGTTGGTACTGTGTAATTCCTTATTTATTCATTAATTACACGTATTATTATTGTCATTATATTTACAATAAGAGGTACAACAGGTGTCTAACATTTACTAATTAATTACCTAAGTATTATTTCGCTGCATTCTCCAATGTAGCCAAGCTTATGTCCTTATTTTCGCCTGGTTTCTTTTTGTACATAGAATCTTCAATGTCCTGCAAACTCCTGCCATTAGTCTCTGGCAGAATAAAACTTAGGAAAATACTAGAAAATAACGTTACTCCCGCAAAACCAGCATACATTACTTGCTCCCCAAATTTATACATAATCCCTGGAGTAACCTTTACAGAAATGAACAGTAAAACAAACGATATAGACGAGCTCAGTCCAGAACCGAAGCCACGTACTTTCGAAGGGAATATTTCAGCTACAAATGACCATGAAATAGATGTTATCGCACTAGCCATACCTATGTATATAACCATACAAGTTACAGACAACCACACTAGCCCTGAAGGGTTCAAATACAAACATAAAATCAATCCTACCAACACAAGGGTTGTTATTATAGAACAAGCTACGAACGTAATTTTACGAGGTATCATTTTAGCAAATATACAAATAATTACAGCTGCAATAATTCTGATGGAATCAGTAACTATCATCAACATAAATGCATCAATATCACCACCGAATGTCTTCTCGAAGATAGTTTCAGCGTAAAACGATAAAGTGTTGATACCACACCATTGTACCGCGATGAATAACAACACTACAGTCGCTATCGACTTCATGAATGGCTTACTAAATATTATATTAAGTATATCTCTGAACGTCGTTGTTTCTTCTGCTTTTTCTTTATTCTTCTCTAACACAATTGTGAGTTCCTTCTCCGCACTTTCTCCTTCACCTCTAAATTCTTTGTAAGACTCTATGCCTTCATCTGTTTTGCCTTTGGATAACAACCATAACGGGCTTTCTTTCAAGAACAGAAGAGTTATGAAGCAAAGTATGTTAGGTACTGTGAAAATGAAGCAGCTGGTTTTCCAATGTGTGTATTTGCCGACTAAATGACTGATGATGACTCCTATGTGGATGGCTGCTGAGGGACAGAAGAGGGCCACGGCTCTGTACTTCGGGTCAGATAATTCTCCGATGTAGACCATGCTGTTTGCCCTCACAGCTCCCGTGCACATTCCAGTGACAAATCTTCCTATTAGCATGACTGCGTTGTTGTTGGCGACGCCCATGATAACCCAACCGAGTGTGAAAGGTACGATAAGGATGAGCTGGCCCATCCTCCTGCCGACACCATCACTCATCCAGCCGGAGAACAGAGACCCCATCATCATGGCCAGCGGGGAGATGGAGGCTGTAACAGATAAAAGTATAATTATTTATTTTGTTGAAGATAATATAGCTTATTGACATCACACAGGTCATGCTTGAACTGTGGATAGATACTGTTTCTGTGATACGATACGTCTGAGATATTACAATAAATCACTTGTAAGTAATTTTAATCTTGCTATAATTGGGTCTTCAGTTCGTTTTAGCATTTTAACACCGAATAAAAGATAATATTATTATCATTGTGAATAAACATACTGAAAGTAGACTATCAGGGTAATATTATTTAATAGTTCTGGAAAATATAAAGGGAGACCCTTTGGAATTCAAATCAGATAAAGATATACTTTTAAAAAAAGTGCTTACCAATCCACGAGTCGTAAATTTCATCGTAAGGGAAGTTTGTGTCAGTCTTTAGTTGAGGTAGCAGGACCGCAGTGAACCCGAACGTGATGCCACCAGCGAGGGACAGCAGAGACGATGCAAATGTTGCCAGGACCTGGATCGATATGGAAAGACAAATGTTAGGACTAAGTATGACTCTGAGTCGTTCCTTTGAGCTAGTTCCTTTAATCAGCGGGACGAATCCCGCGCGGAACAGTCGTCAATTCCCGCGCGGAACAACTCTTTGTGTGATTCACAGATTGTTGTTCCGGGTCTGGGTGGGGTGTGTATGTGAAATTGTATGTTTGTAAACGCACCCACAACACAGGAGAAAATCGAAGTGTGGGGCTAAGTTTATTTAAAAAAATCGTACGAATATATATTTAAATTTTCGAAATTCTCAGTTATTGAAAGTAAATGATGTTTTCAAATGGTTTATTGTGTCCCTGTTCATGGATATATTATTCATGTTCATAATGAAAATGAAATTATAACGTGCAAAAATTATATGTTACAATAGCCTATAAGTACTTGGTTCCTTTTGTATAAATTAAAATCATTAGTGAACCATATAACTTGTATCCGTTTAAATAAGAAATAAAAAATAACGTTTTAATTATTTATTAATTTTACCTGTCTATAAATATGCGCTCGTCCGGCTAGTTTCGGCGTTAACATTTCTAGAATTTTCGTCATCCTGTTGTCTTTAATTCGTTCGTATGAGATTCCTTAATCCTCTCATGGTCTCGAAGCTTCTAGTTCCAGTATGGTAATTAATTGTGCCGCTTCTAAAAACCTGTTGAATAATGGAAATTATTTATTGAAAAATGGCCTCTTTATCAGGTTAACATAGGTATATTATCTATAAATATACATAATTATAAATACTTTAAAACGCACAAAATACCTTTACAAAGAGGCTGACCAATGGTTGGATACATCTATCTATTTATAAAAAAAAAGTGTCGTGAAACATGTATGTTCGCTGATAACTGCCGAATAGGATATTTCTTTTAATGTAGTTTTCCTTATTTTTAGGAAAAGTTTGTATGAGAAAAAATCTGATTTAAGTGTGGGAAAGCCATGTTTCGGCACGAATGGGTCTGATCGACCGGAGTGATACCACGGCCTCACAGAAGACCGGCGTGAAACAACTACAGCGTTGTATTTTGCCGTGTAAGTGAGGTTACCCTCCTCCAATCCCTCCTCAATCCCTAAATCTCTATACCCTAAAAGGTCGGCAACGCACTCGTAACTCCTCCGTTGCGGGTGTCCACGGGGGGCGCTGATTGCTTACCATCAGATAATCCGTCTGCTAGTTTGCCTACCAATTACATAAAAAAAGATGTCAGATACATTTACTAGTAACTTCAGAAAATACGAGTAGCACCGAGCCACAGCAAAACTTCTGGAGTCTGAGTAGACTAGTTTTTAATATTTTAATTTCTTGTTCGTTGACATTCAAAAATGGTTTTTTGGTCCACGTTAATATTAATATTGTGACTTATGCAAAGTTTTAAACCTTTTTTTAAATCATATGATTAAGTGCTTGACTGCTATCCCACCTAGTGGTAAAGCAGTGATACAATCATTAGGTACTAATCATAACTGAACAGTAGTGAATCTTCTGGGTGAGAAAAAGGGATGGAGCTATACACCTTTGATAGCTCCATCCCTCTTTTTCCCGGAAGATTCACGATTTAAAACGTCATGGTAGGCCCGAGAGATGATCTCCGGCCACCGTAAGCGCGGGTCTGCGGACGGCGAGTAAGGGTAGCTCGCCGCCCGACGACGACGACGGACCCGAGCGTACGGCGCGTAGCGTTCCGCGCGCGCTGTCAAAGAGCCAATAGATCACCACAGACGGGGCCTTATAGGGCTGATGTTCAGCCGGGGTTGCGGGTTAAGCGCAATGAGTCACCGCGGCCTTAGAGCAGGAGAAGGAACAGGGGGTTTTTAGTCAGTAAGAGTCAGGCACTCACTCTCGCCTAACCCTGGGCGGGCGATGTCATTTGATGATTTTCACCTGACAAAAAAAAATTGTAGGCCCTCTGACTGGTATGCTGGTATGTTATAGATCGAACTAGATTAGAAAAATTTATTATCTCAGATAGTTTTCAAACAACCATATCACGTTGTGTGGTTACGTTAACAGTAAGAAGTGGTTAATTAAAACCTCTACTAACGAGACTATTATTAGACTATTATTATTATTCCATTAGGACTTCATCAGCTTCTATTACTTTCATTTTGAAATCTATAAGTAGGTAGGTACCTATTCAATTTATAAATATGAGTCGGAAAAAGGCGACGACCCTTTCGTCGTTTGTCGTAAGCAAAATACTACTATAGCTGTATGCCAATACTTGTTAGGTATCTAAGTATAAACTGCAACATATTATATACCTAACCTATGAATTGTGTACTAACTAAAAAGAAATTATTTCGACATATTTATTAACATAATAAAAAAATACCTACAAAATGATTACATTTTCACTCATAGATTTTACGGTAGGTGCTCAGATAATAAAGGTAGGTCCGTAATCAGATTTTTTTCAAGCAAAACAGAGAACAAAATCCTTAATGCTATTAAACGCAAAATATGACGTCACAACATGCAAAACAATAATACGTACGTCACAACACGTAATCCGCAGGTACTCAATTACCTACTCAGTTCATAGAAGATTGTCGATTTAGTCAAAATTGACTATTTAAAACAACGAATTGAATTTCCCTAGTTGTCAAGAAGATATTATTATAAATTAAAGAGCTATCACCACCAGGTAAATATTATTATACACTACTAGGTACAACTAGGTAGGTACATACTTACCTAATTTTGTCAGTAAGAAACATAATAACATAAATACATTTAAATTATGAAAAATGGAGGCTTAAGTTTTGTAAAAAGGATTTGACAATGATTACAAAAGTTTGATACTTACTCCTTGTCAAATTAAATGCTCAATTCTAATAAAATATTCAAAATCGGCAGTCTTTTATGAAAATTATAGGGGTTTTGGTGTTGTGTCATCACGTTATTTCAGCGTCGAACATAAACTATCCAAAGTAATATTATAAATGAGAAAGTATCTCTGCCTGCCTGTCTTTTCTTCACGCCTAAGCTAATGGACTGATATCTGTGAAGTTTGGGACTCGAGTAAGGCCATAGGATAGTTTGTTAATAAAAAAATCTGCAGGAAGTCACTATTCTACGCGAACGGAGTCGCGGGCAAAAGCTAGTGTTTTTTTTATGAATAGTAGGAAGGAACAGACGATTCACCTGATTGTAAGTGATCTACCGACCATGGACATCTGGTCTGCGTGTTCAGTGAAGAGTTGAAGACCTGTGTCTTTGTAGGGTTCAATTGAACTAAATTAATCCCAATCTGAGATTTTCTCTAAAGTGGTGTCGATTTCAGAAAAAAGTCTGTTGCCCAAGAAATGTTAACACCGGCGGGCTTAAAAGGCATTATCTAACCTGTCATCAGCATACCAATGAATGCCACTCATTTGCAACCTGTCATTGATGTGGAGGAGGAACAGGATGGGCGATAGCACGCACCCTTGAGGGACACCAACATTCACAGGCAAGCAACCAGAGCATTCACCGTCGATCACGACTTTTATGATTCTGTCCACAAGGAAGCTTCGAAAGAAGCGTACTTTTTTCACAAGCTTTTTTCAGTGTGTTACAGACACATATTGACCATAGTAAATACATATAATTATGGACCCGATAAACTTCTGGCGCGATATCACATGTATGAATGTCGGACATTTGTTTCAGGGCGAAAATCCAATAGCATGTGTCTCGCATAAGGTGAATGGCGAGAGGGAGTGTCAGACTCTTATTCAAAACCACCTCATTCCTTCTCCTGTTTAGTCTGAGGCCTGAGGCTGAGGCTGAGGAGTTTTAATTACGCTTGCCCCGCAACCTCAGTTGAACATCGGCCTTCCTGGGCCTCGTCAGTGGTGATCTATTGGCTCTTTATGTACGCAATTAAATTATTCAACTATGTAAATAAAACACAAATAATAATATCATTAATAGCACATTAGTTGTTTAAATTATAGTATTAATATTTCAACTTAATAAATACGTATATAGGCTCGGAATTTTTTATAGGCCAGTTTTAATAATAAGCACGCATATATAAATCATTGCGGTTGACTTAAAGACAATTTACGTAAACAGAAGATATTTCCACGATTATGTTACTATTATGTTAAATAAATACATAATAAAACTTGTTTTATAAAATTTTAAATATGTTTTAGCCATATTTTGGTGCGAATAAGCCGGCTCGACCGGAGTGATACCACGGCGTCACAAACAAAAAGAAAACTAACTTTTAATAACGCTTGCACTTTGTTTCAACGTGGTTTCAGGCGGCCCAACGCTTATTCAATTATTTCTGTGTTGTCCGTCTGTTTGTTGGCGATAATCTCTAAAAACAACAAACGCAAATCCATGCAGTTTTCACATGAACATAACATGATTATTCATGTTCTTTGTTAAGAGGGGAACCGAGTTCGTGAGAATATAGGCTGATTAATATACTAATTATAATTAAATCAACATAGAGATAATTTGTATAATAAACGAGTTGATATTGTCATTACGATATTTTATAATGTACCTATTCTTTTGTATGGAAACATGTACCTACCTAAATAACGGAAAAAATACTTAATATCAATTTAATGGCGCACGCATTTACGTGGGCAATTAAATTTATGTGAACATTTAATGTATTGCATTATACTTCTTTGTTTTATGGAAAAACTATTAGTAAAATGCGATACGATGGGCCCGAAAAGTGGCGACCAAGGACCGCAACCGTAGTGTGGGCAGGCACTAGCGGGAGGCTAGGTGGGCCGACGACATCGTCAGAGTCGCGGGGAGCCAATGGATGCAGGTGGCAACTTGTCGTTCGACGTGGAGAGCTAAGGGGGAGGCCTTTGTCCAGCAGTGGACGTCTTCCGGCTGATAATGATGATTAGTAAAAGTCTAAAGTAACAACTACTTCATGTTTTTAAATTTAACCCGCTTTTAGACTTTACAAAAGGGTCCGTTAAAGTAATTTCAAGCGGATAATTTTTCATGTTTCAGAAACAAACGGACGGAAAGTCATCTAATGACTTTTCCCGCCCTAGGTGGGGCGGTAGGGTGTGTTACTCTTACTGACTAAAATCCTCCCAGTTTCGTCTACTGCTCCAGGATTTTAAAATGCTATATTATTATAAAGACACGGTATTGAGTTACAAAATAAACAAACACAATTGCACCTCAATATATATCTAGTTTATATTGGTAGATACCAAGTTTGCATGTCCGAATAGGTAGATATAATAAATGTTTTTTTTAATAAGGTACCTAAGTACTCCATAGTTTGCCTTGCCAAAAATGTGTTATTTCGATATTTTTTGTTTGAAACTTTGATTCAAAGATTTTTTGGTCGCGATAACTGTTTTGTTTTCTTACTTTAATTATTTAGGTAGGTATCTACACAATAGAAAATTTACAGATGCGAAAAAAAACTTATTTAGTTTTGTATAACTTCGAATTCAGCTTAAGAGGGACATGGTCCGCAGTACCAGGCTATAAAGTAAAATTACCTTTTTTATTATTTCACACTTTATTGTAATCTATCTGCATGTCAAACCCTTTCAGCAGTTTTTAAGTAGGTACGTGTAATAGAAACAAGTCTCCATCCAACTCTCGTAATTATATTATTAAGAATAATTTCAGAGATTTTACACTGTGACTAATCATAATTTTGAGATA